GGTAAGGGCCAAAACAGTGCAGCGGAGACCGCCAAAACCCGAAAGCACTCCCTGAACCATGCAGGAGTTTCCAAAAGTTAGGGGTACCTTATTTTGAGGTCCTTCTAATAAGGATCCGACTATTTGGGGTACTATATTATGGGGTCCCCCATTTAGGAAACTCCCATGCCGCATTCCTTAGCACAATGCCGAGGGTCGGTCTTAGGGCTTAAGGTTTCAGGCATGCCAAGTAAGTAAATTGGCTACCAAGGCCTGGCAGCCCAATCGCGAAGTGTCTGTCAGCGTGTAAGTGGAGTCGAGAAGGTCTTCCTGACAAAAAGTGTCAACTTTGCATTGAATGAGCATGGTTGTGACGAAAACGGACATGCCAATGATGATGGTAGTGATGATGACGACAGCGATGTTGCTGATGTCTGCAGTGGCGACGTTGCCAAGGATGCTGGTCCCTGGTGTTGATGATGATGATGGTGATGATGATGATGATGGTGGGGATGAGAGTGGTGGTGAGGATGACGCCTCTAGCTTTGACTATGACGGTAAGTGTGGTACAGAGGGGTGAATGACGAAGCTACAGATGATACTTTGGTTTTCATAGCGATGGTAGCTGATGGCGATTGTGACAGTGGCGGCAACGGAGAAGATGATAGTGAGAGAGATACAAGCGACCACCATCACCACCACATACCGCCAGAACATATACCACCACCAGTGGAACGCAGCCACAAGAACAACAAGGACTAAGCACTAACCTGGCGCCTGTTATCACTGCATTAGTTCTAATAATGGCGACCACTCTTCCTTTTTGTGGCTGATCCCCAGTGTCAGCGCAAGTGAAGCCTAATGGCGTAATACAGGGGTCTTAATAATTAGAACAACATTTTGGGGGCCACTATGCTTTTTTGAAAACAAGGAACCCCGCAGAATAGTATTGGCAATTATTAAGGCCCCTTATAGTAGCTTTTGAGGGACTGGTGTTTGCCAGTTTGACTTGGAAGGCTAAAATGCCAGGGTTCACCGGGCGACGGTACAATTGCGAGTTTATATTTTTTACCCCTAAGATTCCATGTGCCCATATGGTCATGCGGGTAGTTGTCACCCTTTTTGGGGACCCTAAGTAGTAGGTGCCGTATTACAATAGGAACCCAAAAAGGCACCAGAATTTTGACAACCACCCATGTAGTGTATTGAAGCTGCCATATTAGGGGTTGGTTCAAAACCATGACATGATCTACCCTGTCTCGAACCGTAATTACCCACTGAGACAGCGTGCACAGCAGCAACTCTTTCCTTCAGTATCCGGGTCCGAAAAAGTTCAAACTTTGAAAGATAGACCTAATGTGCAATCCCAAGAATCCCAAGAAGCTTGAAGTTCTCCCATTGGCTATCTAAGACAACCCCTTCAAAGCACAAGCACAGCCAGTCGACTGCCCAAGCAAGATCCATCGAACAAAAGGAATGAGAGCGAATGAGAGCCACTTAAACAATGACGGTTTAGGATTTAAGGCTTCGGGTTTAGGGTTTATGGACTGTAACGAACCACTCTCGAAAACAAATACAAACACCTTGCCCAACAAAAACACAACTTACGTAGACAACTCCATGTCAAGCCCAGTGCAGCGCTTGAAACCTGCGCAAACCCTCCATCCAGGAAACCTGAAAATGCGACACTGCCTTATAAGGGTTGGGGAACCTTGGAAACAAAAATGGTGCAAGGATATCCAGGGCGTCTAATTGAATTACCTTCCTTTAAACGCTGCACGTTGCTGCAGACCCGAAACTTCGAAAGCCATAGTCCCTTTCCCCCGGATCCATGAACCCTAACCCGGTAGCCCAACCAGCACATCCAATCCTATGTACTATGAACTATAAGCCTTATGTTCCGAAGTCTTTGTGCTGAGACCCCAATGATTCAATGGATCCTAACAACCGCCCTTTCTGTACAGACGCAACGCAGGTCCTTGGCACCACACGCTAGCCGGAGTTCCGGGACTTGTCGCACGGAAGCACATGCAACGGTACCGTGGCTGGACACGTCTCTCTCCAGCCATCTAGCTCCGGGCCGAGGACTTCTTGCAACCACTTCTGGAAGCTTCACGTTCCAAGGCTGCCACGCGTGCTCCTATCCACCATGGTCTGTAGCCTTCGTCTACGGGACGCGCTGAGCACGAGCAAAGCTGCAACGACCGGTAGGCAAGGACATCTGTTGCACGCGACACCCAGCTACATAAAGCCTAGATAGTCATAACCATATAGGGACCGTTACAACAAGGCACCTCCCTACCGAAAAGAAACACCAACAAAGCTACCTAAAGCCAAAACTCCCTAAAACAACCGATAAACCTCAACCGTTGAACCCTGTAGGCCTACCCTACAAACCCCAAATGAACGACGTTAGAACACACACACACAACAAAACACACATATATATATATATATATATGTATATATATATATATATATATAAACCCTAAGCCCAAAAACACCCTCATCCCTAAACCCTATAGGAACCCCTCACCCCTAAACCCTAAAAAGAGCAATCCCTAAAACCTAAACCCATCAACCCCCAAAAAAACCTGCAAACCGCCCGCCTAAACCCTATAAAACCCTATGAAACCCTATAAGCCCTATAAACCCTATAAAACCTTATAAAAACCCTATAAAAACCCTATAAACCCTAAAAAGAAAAAACCGTGCCTCCCGGACGCCAGGGCCGGACAGGCGGTCAAAGAAGGGCTTCTCCAGAATCAGGTGGCAGGTGGCGCACTGCGAAGCGGATTTTTAGGGTTTATACTTGGAGGTACCTTAATTGGCTTTTTCGTAGTTATAAGAATGGTTTCCCTCATTATAACCTTGGCTCCTGCGTCCCATGATCCTTTGCGTAGGCGTTTGGGGGCAGGGATGGCAGGCTTTTCGGAGATCTAGTTTTGTGCTTTCCAGAGGCTGCTTTGAACAAACAAGTCTTCAGGGTTCGACGCGGTGGCTGCGATATAGAGCGTATATATATATATATATATATGCATACATATGTACATATATTTATATATATATATACACATATATTTCGATTTGATGGCGCAATGGTTGGCAAGCGAACTTCGGAGACTTTGGTGTCAGGGGCGTGCGGTTTACGGAGCGAACAGGTGGCAAAGCAAAGCTACTCGCGCTCGGGTTGGGCTCGTTTAGGGTTTTGCATACTTGAAGGATCATGGGACTTAGTGCTGTAAGGATACAAAGAAGGTATAACTATACTTACAATAACTTATGACCCCAATAAGGGGCATGTAACCTTGCTTGCTAAGTCCCATGATCCTCTAAATAATGTTTTGGTTTAAAGCCGTTTGATCAGCATAAAATAACCGACGAGCAGGATGATACACCTTTTCCGAACATCGACCTCTCTACGTATCAGTCGACCCATCATCTAGACGTGCGTGCTTGCCTTGTGCACGGCTTTTGTGTGTGTGTGTGTGTACAGGTGTAGAATGTTTCTGCGAAAGGATGCATGTTGCATCCAGCCGTGTTCCTATCTTTGCATGCTGGTGCGTTCACACAGCTAGGCTGCCCCGTGTCAGGACACTCAGAAAACTTACCTAGATGGCAACTCGTTGGAATTCTCGCCCACCACCATTAAATCCGAGACCTCTAACGACCCGCCGAATGGATATCTGAACACCTAAGTTAACACTCCGAACCCTCCTCCCCTAAATCCTGAGCTTTCCCTAGATCACCAAAATCACGGTTTCGGGTTTACGGGCTTAGGCAACCCTGACACAAACCGGTCACCTGCAGCTTTTGCCCGCAGGCCGCATGGATGTCAACGCCATGCTCCTGCGGCAGGGCTGGCACCAAGGTACACCGGCTTTAAGCAAAAACGTTTTAGGGCACCGGGTTTAAAGGGTGCACCCCGCTGTATAGCTGGATACTGTGGGATATGTCATGTCCCCATATAGCCTTACGCTGAGGGATACAAACGAGACAAGTAAACGCCGTCATCTGGCACAGAGGATAGTGCACGTAAACCGCAATCCATGCTCCCAACCACATGCGATAATGACAACGCGCGCTTTCGCGGCCTTGCAGGCAGCGTTCTCACTTGGAGTGGCTTATGAATTGAAAAAGAAAATGCTCTGCATGTCAGGCTTGGCCTGTCTAGCAGAGATACTTGAGCGGATCCCCAGCCGTACATACAGCTGGAAACACATTTTAGAAAAAAAACGCTCAAGGATCCAAAGCACCCGGCTGAAATGCCAAACCTTAACAGAGTCTGTAAACAGAGCTGGAGCACACAATACAGATGCCTTGATAATTAGAACGGGGTCTTGTGGTGTCCATATCGTGAACAGATGTGAAGGAACCCACCTTTCCGAACAGTTGTTCTGTACGCGTTGGGTGCACTATCGTTGCTACTCTCAGTGCAAAAACTGCCCCAACCCGAAACCCTAAACATTAAACTCAGTTCCTGTGCTCATTGTAAGACGGCCAAGGCTAGATTTACATTATCATATGTAAGCTGACCCAGACACCGAAGTCCCAGTTGCAATCAACTCTCAGGCAAAACAGCAATTGACTGCCCGCTTCGGACCCTCGGCGACAGCAACCAGACATGGCCAGGCTGGCAACACGAAACTTAGGTGTCCAAGCGCAGCACGAGTCTGGCAGGCGAGACGTGCAGGCGAAGCTGCATCTCTTACTATCCGACTGCCACAGTCCCACTTATTTCCCCAATACCCAATGTACTAGCAGTCTAATGAATTTACATTCGCCCAAACAGTCCCCAAAATTTGGGTAATGGAGAAATAAGTTCATGGCAACTTGGGAGCCTCCGTCAGAGTTGCCTGATTCACAGCATACTCTTCAGATGCCCCGAGAAACGAGAGCTCAATGCTTGAAACACTTCCCAAACGAAACACTCCAGGCGAGTCCCCAAAGGAGCCCAACCAATCGATGACACCACTTTTATTTCACAACATACACTCTGACAACACCTCTAAACCCTAGTCTCAGGCCGCCTTGGGTTCCGAGGGGGGTAGCAAGTTGTCCCAAATCGGCTTCTGAACCTCCCAGATGCTCTTGGCGCATTTCTGGAAGGTGGCCTTCTCCTGGGCTTTTTCGCGTATAGTTTGGGAGTCCGAAGGCTCTATGTAATCATATAGTAGGTACTAAGGCCTTAAAGGGGTCTCTATATAGGTACTTCAAGGCCTAAGTACCTACTATATGGGTACATTGAGCCTTTGGGGAGGTGTTCATCGGGTCACCAAAATCCTCTGCAAAGGTGTCACAGAGGAGTGAACAAAGCAAATGCCAACCTCAAGAGACCTCAAGAAGCCAAAAGACCCGAGGCGGCGTAAGCCAACAAACGAACCGGTACAGTTTGGGATTTTCAAACCCAGAGGGTCCATACACACTACCATTATGCAATTAGGCCCTAAAAGACCATCCCTGCTATGATTTGGGGACCTCATTCCATAATGGTAGTGTATATGAACCCTCAGCCTTAAACTCAAAAGGAACTCCTTAAAAGAAGCCCAGAAAGGAGCCCTGGGTTATTAGTGTGTATGAACCCTCTGAGAAAGACTCGCCAGGCTCCAGGGAAAGCCTGGGGCTTCGCCTTTAGACGGTCGCCCAGTACCCCTAAGACTCCATGTGCGTGCAAATATAGTGAGGGTCCATTGAAAGGGAACCATTAGGGTCCCTTTAAAGGGTACCATAATCAGAGAAGAGATCTATGAGGGTTCTATTACGCATAGGGTTTAGTTTACGGTTTAAGGCTCCATGTGCCCAAATAGGTACTGAGGCCTTAAAGGGGTCGCTATATAGGTACTTTAAGGTGTAACAGTGTAAGCCAGTCGCTATAGCCGCACGCCTACATGTTTGTAGGGTCCCGAAAAAGTCCGTCGTCGGATTTGTACTAAGAACCTACAAGAACGTGAATTTCATAGGTTGAAGTATTCCTATACCCTCCCGCGTGGTACCTATGCATGGTTGCCTGATTGTGTGATGACTACCCCTTGACCCAAAGTCCGAGTTCGTCAGAAGTAAAAACCCGAAGGCCCATAACGCAGAAACCTGAGCAATTAGGTAATAGAATTCCTCAGCGTTTGTTGTTGTTTAGCAGCAAAAGACCACGAAAACAAATCTGTTCGAATCATAAAACGCAAAACCCCCAACCCTAAACCCCTTTCTACTGGCCAAGTTGCTGAGTCGGTCAAAGGGAGCACGGCCACACGCTGGACGCCCTGCTTCGAGAGTCACGGTTTAGGGTTTTAGGGTGTGTAGTTTGGGTTTTAGGGTTTAGGCTTTAGGTTTTTTGGTTTTAGGGTGCAGGGTTTAGGGAACTTCGGAAGGAGGCTACGGAGCCGCTGTATGAGGGCAACCTTGCAAGGTTAGTCTAACCCTACTTGAAGGACCATGGGACTTAGTTTATAAGTAGGTTAGAGTTAAGGTAACCACACTTATAGTTACATATACTCCCAATTAAGGTATATGCATGACCTTACTTACTAAGTCATGATCCTCCCGGTAAACCCCAAACCCTAACTATGCGAGCTTACTGTAACCCTAGTCCCTAAGCGGAAGGTTAACATAAGGTTGCTAAAGCCTAAAACCTACACTCTAGTTGCGAAAGGTTAAAATAAGTGCCGTCTATAGCTCTTAACCCTAAACCCTAACTATGGAAGGTCAGAATAAGGGCTCTTCAAGGGTTTAAAGTTTGGGGTTTCTGGGTTTAGGGCTTCGGGTCCAATCCAGGTATTAGACTTCGGGGTACCTTGAGGGGTTTAGGGTTTAGGGGTTTAGGGTCTAGGGTGTTTAATATGTTTAGTTGGAGATGAGGGTTTAGGTTTCTTGGAGTAGTGGTATGACTTTCCTCATAGACGGCCGTATCGTCCGGGTTTAAGCAGGTACGTTTGTCTGAGAGGGGACTTGAGCTCACTGATTTCACCATCCTAAGGCATATGGCTTCCTAAGTCGCTCTGGGGATTGGGGTTTAGGGTTCAGGGTCTAGGATGGGGCAGAAGGAAGCCCACCAACAACTTCAGAATCGGAAGTCTCCAATCGTCTCGAAAAACAGAACTCCAAGTCCCGACCTTCAATGAAAGGCAGGCAAAGCCCTAATCCTAAATCTTCAAACGTGACACGTGTGCGCAAACAACAGAAACACCTGGACCCAGACATCCACGTCCCAAGGAATGCATCTATTGAAGCCGGGGGGTCTGAAAAATGTGTATGTGCCAATTCGGACCGAATACCTCGAAGTAACACCCAACATCTGGACCTTGCAAACAAAGTCTTAATTGGTCCTGCTGCCCTCAACCCTAAACCCTATAGAGCCGTAAGCAGTGAACCGCTGCTCGAGCCTCAAAAAAGCCACAGAGAACCAATCAGGGATCTATCCGAAACGCTTGCTTCCGAAAAAACCGAGGCCTTTAAGTAGGTGGGTTCTTGTTGGGGAACTTGGTTCACGATCCATAGTGAATGAATAATGGGTCTTCCCTATGTTGGTATCTGAAGTTGCGTAATGCTTAGCAACAACCAGAAGTTGAGGGTATTTGAATCCCCATGAACCCCCTAAACCCTACACCCCCAAAAAGTACAGCAGACACTCCCAGACCCTAAACCCTAAACTGGCTCTAAACCCTAGAAGCCCTAAGCCCATAGACTTAGACTTTAAACCCTACCTTAACCCCAAATAACCTACCTGTTTAAGGACATAATATAAGGAAATCATATTAGGGTTCCCTAAAAAGGTAGGTTTCTTAGGGTCCAGGTAAACCCTAAACCCCTGGACCCTAAACCGCCTAGAACCGCCGCAAAAGGCAAGGGCTGCGGCAGACCTGGCTGGAGAGGCTGCAGGGGAGACTGAGAAACACGTCGCCCTCCACGTCATACCTGGTCTTTAGGTCTTTAGGGCTTTAGGGGTTTAGGGTTTATAGGGGTTTAGGATCTTTGGGATAGGGCTTCGGGGTTTTAGGGCTTTGGGGGTTTAGGGCTTTAGGGCTTTAGGAGTTGGAGGGATTTGGGGTTTAAGAGTTTAGCGTTTTTGGGAGAGGTGTTTTGGTTTTTTTCATGCTTTGGGGGTCTAGGGTTTAGGTCTTTATGGGTATAGGGGTTTAGGGTCTTTGGGATGAAGCTTTGGGGATTTAGGGCTTCGGGGTTTAGGGATTAGGGTTTCCTGTAGGTTTTAGAAGCAGGGGCTTTGAAAATTGAGTTTCTGCAAGGGCTTGCGATGGCCACGAAAGGCTCTGAGGGCTCTTCATCTTAGTTCAAGTCTTCTGTGCCCAATCACATTGCCGCAAAGCCCTCAAAAGAGCGAATGAAGGTTTTGAGATAGTTTGCCTGGCCGTCACTGTCAGCTTGCTCTTCGCCATCTTGTTCTGCCTGGAGCCTCCAGTATCGCCGCTCGCTTCTCTCCTCTTTTCTGTTATCTGAGTTGAGAGCCGTGTCTTCCACGTAGACAGCTGGCTCGGTATTCGGAACGGCGAATTTCGAATAACCCAAAGGGTCCAAGCATCATCATGGTATATACTTATAGGGTATTTGGGGCGTCTAAGTATATACCATAATGATACTTGGACCCTTTGGGTAATATCATTCTCGAATGTCATTCCCTAAACCGTAAACCCTAAACCCTAGACCCTAAACCTTAAACCCTAAACCCTCGTTGTAGTGGGCTGCTATGCAGTGACAGCACCAGTGCCTGACATGGCTTTCCTTTGACCTCGCAGATCGGCCCCGGCACTGCTGTCATGCTTTCCCAAAGGGTCCTATGTACTGTTATGGGGAATACTGTGATGGAACCTCTAGGGTTCCTTTAACGGGATCTTTAAGGGTTCTATAAGGGATCTATTGGGCTTAGGGCTTTGGGGGTTTAGGGGTTTAGGGTCCTAGGTATTGTTATGGGGAATACTTCCCTAAGTCATAATAGAAATTCCTAGTTGGAAACCCTACATTCTACTATATCGTTACATAGGACCCTTTGGGTTTTTGACAAGGCTCCAGGTAGCCTGAGTACAATGTCTTAGAAGCTGCCCCCGCCCTGTAATAGTGGTATAATAGGAATATAATAGGGCCCTACTGTAATCCTTATAGTCACTATTACAGGGTGGGGGCAGCTTCTAAACAATGGCCATGTTGTGATTTCCGGGGCTTGAGATTACCTGCCTCGGCTTTTGGCTGCAGGGTTTGCAGGTCTCGGGCTCTACAGTGCCCGACACAACCGTCAACCAACAGCAACTAGGCCATAGCACAGCCGGAACCTAAAAATCCCTAAAAACCCAAACCCCAGCCTAAGGGTCCAAGTAATCCTTATTTATGGCTATATCCGTACCCAAGATGGACCCATCCTTTAACAGGGAATACTTGGACCCTTAGAGTAAACCCTAAAACACCCTAAAGCATGATCTCGAATCAAACCCTAAACCCTAAAACCTCTAAACACCCTAAATCTAAACCCTAAAAACCCTAAACAACCTAAAAAAAAAAAAACATGAACCCTAAAAAAAACCCTAAACCCTAATCTCGAATCAAACCCTCAGCCCAAAAACCCGGGCCCGAGACTTCGACCCTGTAAGCACCCCAGAGACATGAAGCCTAAACCCCGAATCAAGGGACCTTACTTAAATGATCATGGGACCTTAGGGCTCCTTTAAAGGGTCCCTTTAAACGGGATCTATAGGGGTTCCTTAAAGGGATCTATGGGGTTTAGGGTTTAGGGTCTACGTAAAGGATCATGGGACTAAGTACCTAGGGTTATAATTAGGGTAACTATACTTATAACTACGTATAACCCCAATTAAGGTACTTTTTTGCCTTACTTACTAAGTCCCGTGATCCTCCACGTAGTAATTTGGGTGCGGTTTTGAAGACTAATGCATAAGGACTGTAACGGGGTAATATTGCTAGTTATTCCGAAATTTTGACACCGTGGACATCCCTGAGGCTTAAACTCGCCCAAAACCTTCCTAAACACTAAACCTTAGCACTAAAACAAATACTATGGTCTTTGGGCCCAACAACGCCTCAAACCACAAGCCCGAAAAGCCTCAATCTGCGGCGCAAAAAAACCCGACTTGTCCAAGCAATTTATCCATGGAAACCATAAGTATGGAAGGTTTAATATTTCCCCTAAACCCTAAACCCTAAATCCCAAACCCTAAAGCCTAAATCCTAAACCCTATCTCTGTGTAAGATGTCAGCTCCTCAGCCTTAACTTGGCCCAGGCACAGGCCACGCACACAGGTGGATACCGGGATAATCGTGCGCGTGTCATTCAGTACGGCCTCGCTGCGGATGCTAGGGATCAAATACCGGGCCTGAAGTTGCTTGTTCAAAGTTGGGCTTGAGGCTTACAGTTTGGGTACGGCCCCCACTCAGTAATAGTTGAGTAATATTCCTACTATACTTATATTAGGACCTTGATAGTAGCCCTATTATCGACTCTTACTGTATGGGAGTAGTACCTAACTTACAGTTTACGGCTTGGGGATTACGGTTCGTAAGGTTTTATCCCTCTCCTTATCATGGTCTCCGGACCCAAAAAACTGTCCGGGTACCCGGTTCAAGCCGTTTGAGAAGTCATCTGGACCCAATGGACTTCCTGAATGCCTCGACCGAAGAAAACCCAACAATTGGGCATGGGGCGGCTAATGTCATAACCTGATTTGGCAACCCCGGGCCTATCACCCCAAAATAGTAAGACCTCTATAAGGAATCCTAATACAGGTCCCAGGGTTTCGAAATGAGATTCCTACATTATCCCTGAACCGTGCTATCATCCTTAGGCTCCATGTACCTATATAGGATGCACTGAGGTGTGTAAAGTACCTATTGGAACCCCCTTGAGGCTTCACTATATACTATACAGGTACATGGAGCCCTAGGGTAAGGCTTCTGGCTTTCGGTGCCTAGGGTTATCAAGGCTCAGAGAAGTTTATCTCGGGTTTAAACTCGCAGAACACCCCATCCCGAAGCCATAAAAAAAACGAAAACAACACCTAAGCCACACAGAACCCCAAACCGTGACACATGCCTGAGCCCAGGGCCCAAACCCACAAAGCCCAAGCAAACAAAACACGAGCTCGCCTTGCAGATATATGCGGTCGACATGCCAATGGCCCAGTTGGTGTAGCCTTTTGGGGTTACAGGGAACTCCAGAAAGTTGGAATATGGATTAATGGTAGGATCCCCTATAATTTACCTTAAAGGGGTTACGATAATGATATTCCAACTTTCTGGCTTCTACCTTAGGCTTCTGTGGCTCTAGGTTCCAAAACGGTTCTGACATGTGGTTCAGAGTTTACCTCCACCAAACCTACTCGTTTGTAGGGTTCCCTATGACTCCTACACAGGGCTCACAATAGGAACCTCAAAACCCAAGTAAACAAGTGGTTGCGGTAGTCTAAGGCCGGCTGAGACTAGCTGCCCCTGTGTTCCCTAAATAATGAGGGTACCTGTTTTCCTGCTGTTCCACATCTCTCATCAGGGAGCCCTGAAATAGACAGTGCAAAAGCGTACTACTGCACAACCCAGGAGATGCCTACCGACCCTACAGACAAAACAACCTAGGTACCTATATCGGGGACACTTACCCTTACCATCATGGATATTCCTACTATGGAAAGCCTACTTTCTATGCTCTCCCTCTTCCCTCAAAAGAAAGCGATGTTACAGCTTAAGACTTTGGGTTCAGGGTGAGCGTGTTCAGGGTTCATGGTAGGCTTTTTGGTTTAGTGCTCTTTGTCTTCGTCTTGGCAATCCTGCTGTCTGTGGCCCTAGGCTCAATGTTCACCGCAAGTTTCTCACCCTGCAACCTACTTCCCAAATACCCATGGGGCAAACAAGTCAAGCTTTTCGCGTAAGACGACACTATAAGACATCCCGAAGTTGAAAAGTTTGGGTTTTATCGGCCACTGAGGGAACAGGAAGCCTCGCCAAAAAGCAGGTCCCAAGTCCTCCCTGACGCCCTACCTTAGCATCCCGAACCCCCAAACAAGATTGAATCTTAGATCTATATACCCGAGGCTGGCTATGGGCTTCGTAGCCTTTTGCAGGTTTCAGGATCGCAGAGAGCTACGGTTTCGTCAAACTAACCCATCCCTTTCCTCCCCAACTATCCTTCAGTATAGCAGCCAAGTTGTGAAAGACATCGCCTCGCATTTTCCTTGATAAGATATACAATCAAATCAAGCATACCATAACTCGAATCGTCAAAAGGATACTTAAGGTCAGGAAAGATTTTGCGCAATTGCTCGCTGTAAGCACCACGAGGTCTCTATTACGGTACTTCAGTGGGGTGCCGGTCAACCCCAAGCCCTGTAAAATGGGGGCCTCACTAATCAGAATAGGCTTTGGGGGCCCATTACACTCTAGTTATAGTAAGGAACCCCCAACAGTATAGGTGATTATTTAGACCCCTTTGTGTAAACTCCATAAACCACGGGCCTTTGAGGCTGATGATGTCGTAGGCAGAGTTCACCACGTTCTTGTGGATCTTCTGAAGGGTCTCATTGGGCTCCTGATGGATTGTGGAAGCATGGGTAAATACGGTTGATGATATAAATCCTGCATCACCCATAATAAGGAATATACCATAATTCCCATAGTTTAGGGTCCTTAAGGTCATGCAGGATTTATATCATCAACCGTATCATAGAGGCCTAACGGGTTTCGGGTTCAGGGCGATTGTGGCAGCTTTGTAAATTATGTTGTTCAATAAGGCATGATGGTCGTTTAAATTTAACCTAAACCCCCAAACCATTACATAGGTGTCGAAAAAACAGTTCCCAAACCGTACATATTTACTGTTCTATGCTAAAGCATAAAGAGAAAAAACACTCTCCCAAATCTCTACCCAAACAATCTGCAACCTCAAAACAGACGAAAGCCTGAACCCTATAAGCCTTAAACCGTAAACCTAAAACCCTAAACCCCAAACCCTAAACCCTATAAGCCTTAAACCCAAAACCATAAAGGGCCTCCCCTGGCTCGAGGAGAGGGAGCGCGCCGACTCGCACCGAGGACCAGACAGGGATGGAAGAGTCGCCGTGCTCGCCGATGATGTATCCTGAGGGGCATTCCTTTAGCGACCAGTTCTATACTGAACTTAGAACCCTAGCAAAAGTTATAATTTTAGCTGTTCCTTAAGGGTTATAATAACCAAAAATTTCAACAACTATTTCTAAGTACCCCTAAGATTTCTTGCTTGTTCAGGGTCTATAGGGTTTAGGGATGTTTAGGGTTTTAGAGTGTCCTTAGGATTGTGGGCTGGTTTCTAATTTGCTTCGTTAAAGAAGTTCCGGGTATATATATATATATATATATATATATATGTACATACACAGTATACACACATACATATGTAAATCTATGTATATATATACACATATGTATATATAAATGTACACATGTAAAGCATTTTTCAGCGTGTTCCATAGACCCTAAAACCCAAAACCCTAAAAGCACCTCAAAGCCCAAGAGTCCATGGACGTTCTTGGGATCCAAGTCCATCGACTGGGCGATCAGCGTCTGGAACCGGGATGTGTCGAGGCAAGTGCCGGCACCAAACACCTGGCCGAACTCCTAATCGCAAAGGGTCCTATGTACTGTTATGGGGAATACTATTATGGAACCTCTAGGGTTCCTTTAAAGGGATCTTTAAGGGTTCTATAAGGGATCTATTGGGCTTAGGGCTTTGCGGGTTTAGGGTCTTAGGTATTGTTATGGGGAATACTTCCCTAAGTCATAGTAGTAATTCCCAATATGGAAACCCTACATGCTACTATATCGTTACATAGGAGCCTTTGGGAATGTATAGGGGCTAGCCAAGCCCATGCGCACGCAATCATGCCCCAATCAGCCTGACGCTAAGCAGAGTTGTCAAATCCCCTTGGCAGAAAAGAGTATCGCAGCCTGTCGGCTGGCTACCCAGGGGACACGAACAAATCCAGCAAAACCCTGGAACCCAGAAGGACATAGCTCTACTCATATTTTCTAGGGGTCCACGTGCCTATGTAGTATATGCCTCGGTCTTAATGTAGTCATCCTTTAGGTACTGTGGGGCCCAACTATATGCTACATAAAAGGTACGTGGAACCTCGGGGATCATGGTGATAGGATTCTCTATGTTTGTTGAGGGTGGTTTACGGTTCATGTGTTCATCAGGTTTGAGGGGGGTATGTGTTGGAACCACATAGCTCTGAACCCCTTGACCCCTGAACCCTACACCTTCCAGTTCAAAAGCTGGTACAAATTACAGATAGTACTCCTCATCACTATGTATATATATATATATATATATATATATATATATACCAAAGCCTAACCGAATCATTGCTGCCCCTGCACTAATTAGGAGTTTTATAAGGTATTTACCTTGGCCTTTATGTAGTCCGTAACCCCTATTCAGCTAGTTTAGGGTTTAGGGCCCAAGTAGTGGACGGAACCAAAACCACGAAGCTGTTTGTGTACAGTATACTGTCAAGGTATGGGGGAGATATGGATGACGTCCTCCCACCGATATATGAATCCCAAACCCAGTGTTGGCTCCTAGTCCTTGCACGTCGTCTGTCGGCCCTTGGCACAGTTTGCGTCAAAACCCGAATGGCCTGAAGGGCTTCGGGTGTGTAGGGGTTTAGGGTAGAGGGATTTAGGGCTCAGGGTTCAGCAAAGCCGCAAACCACGCAGAAGATCGACCACAACAAAGCTTGCACAACGTGGAGATGCCCAAAACCAAAACCCGAACGACCACACCAAGCCCCTTGCGAAGCCCTGAACACTAAACCCAAACTCTCAGAATCCCAAACCCTCGAAAACCATTATAATATATATATATATATATATATATATATATATATTCATTTATTTATTTATATACATATTTGTTCTTTCGTTTATTTTTTTGCCTGACAAACCTTCGTGGGACCTTGTGAAATCTCTGAAAGAAGGACCTGAAGCCGACTTTGAAGTCCCAAGCTCACCCTTGTCTTTTAGAAACAATTTACAGAGACCCAGGGCCATTCCTATAGACCCCTTAGAGAACTCTATAGATCCCTTTAAAGGAACCCCAGAGATCCCCAAGGACCATCCGGGCTTCATTCAAGGGCCATTACCTAGAGCACCCTTGTCCTTTTAGAAATAATAGACAGAGACCTATACCTATATGGGGGTTTCCGAAAACAGGGGTCCCTTATTTTGGAGTCCTTATAATCACGATCCTACTATCTAGGGTACTGTATTAGGGTCCCCTATTTTCGGAAACTCCCATATCCCTTGCTAGGAATTATTTAAGAAGGTCTACTAGCCGGTCTGTTTATTCTTTTGGGGGAGCCATGAAAAAGGACAAGGCTGCCCAAGCTCGCCTTCCCCTGTGGAAAGTCGGGGCCTCCCAAGGCAGTGCTGCGGCTTTGCTTCGGAGATGATAGGGCGTATAGGGTTTAGGGTTTTTAGGTTTTAGGGTTTAAGGTTTTGAAGATTTAAGGATTAAGGTGTTGAGTCTTAAGTTTTGGGGTTTTGAAGTTTTAAGTTTTAGGGTTTTAGGGTTTTGGGGATTCGGTAGTTTATGGGTTTAGGGCGGGGTTATAGGGCTTATTCGGGCGTTGAGGGTTTATAGGGTATTTTAGGGCTTGTGGGAGTTATAGGGCTTACAAGGCTACAGGGTTTATAGGGTTTAGGGCTTACAGGACTTATAGGGCTTACAGGGCTTATGGGGGTTTATAGGGTGTACCGGTGCTTGTATAGGGCGAATTAAGTTTAAGGCATCCAAGTGCGTGGCGTACTGTTTCGTTATGAACAAAGCAGCACAGTGACATGCTTGAGAAGACAACATAATTGCAGAACTACCACAAGCTAACAAGCCGGTAGCTAGTTGCTAGAGGTCGACGAGAATCGTTTAGGCCATCCCCCAATCAAAACAGCTTAGGATTCAAGGTTTAGGGCAGGGTCAGGGGGGTTCCTAAAATCGGGAAGACACGAATACAAGAAACTCAGGGTGGTACCAATAGTTTTCATGGGCCTGCAAGCTTGGCAGCAATCGCCGTCATGATGTCACAGGGGTTGCTGACGATGAGGATGGTCGCATTCCTGGTGGGCGAATGGTTTCAGGACCATGGGTCTTGACAAGTCCATACAGGGCTTGGAAGGGTCCTGAGAGGGTCCCTTAAGGGACCTATAAGGGTTCTGTAAAGGGAGCTCAGGGTTTACTTTGCGGATCTTGGGACTTAACTAGTAAGTAAGGTGATAAGTACGCTAGTGGGGGTTATCAGCCGTGAACACTTTAGGTACCTTACTGCCAACCCAAGTTACCAAGTCCCATGATCCTTTTATAAGTGGAGCCCGACTGGTCATGTCGATGCGTCGCGGCGTTTGCGCCTTCGGGGGTTTCAACCTCTGAAGTTAACATTGTGGGATTATTCGGCTTGAAGCAGAGACCCAGTGAAACCCTATAAACGAAACTCTTCGGGCACAGGTGTTTGTTGCATCCTACTTAAAGCCGGTTACTTCTGAACCATACTTGGAGCAAGTCTCCGGGTTTAGTGTTTAATCTGTGGGTCGGGAGTTGATGGCTCGGGGACAGGCAATATGGGGGTTTGGGCTTGAGGGTTTTAGTGTTTGGCGTTTGGGGCATTGGGTTTGGGGCTTTCGGGTTTCTGTCGGAAACCCATCACGAAACCCCTGAAGCATTTAAAGAAACCCTTCCCAAAGTGCTGTACAGTTGTACATCTCGCACAAAAACATGTATACATGTATACTACCTAGATCCCCAAAAGTAAGTAAAATAATGGCCCGAAACCTAGAAAAGGCTATTATTCTACATACTTTTGGGGTCCAACCCTAAGCCCTAAACCCTAAAGCAGCCAGAAAAGACTTCGTAAGCCGCGGCGGAGGCGCGGGGAGTACTTGAGAACCTCCGGCATGATCTTCCTGAGACCAAAGGCTCAGATCATAGGAAGGAACCCTTGGGGGCCAAAGGGGGGGGGGGGTTAGGGTTTAGAGTTTTAGGGTTTGGCCTACTTGTCGGGTAGCATTGGGAAGTAAAGGTTAACCTTTTTGGTTACATTGGGGGTTCCTTACTTATATACCATGATCATAGTATAATGGGCTCCAAAACCCTATCCTAATTATTAAGGCCCTTATATTATAGAACCCTACTATAGATCCCTTATAGAGCCCTTGTAAGGAACCCTTTAGGGGGAACCCTATTTGGGGGGGAATTCGTAGCTCAGAAGCTTCAGGATGTTGGCGTTGCGATCGACCAGGCTCAGCCGCGACTCCCCAGGTTGCTGAGCCACACCGGCAGTGATTACCACCATGTCCTGCAACCCAACTTGGAGGTTCATGGGTAGTTATAAGTGGTGACCCTAAAGTATCTATATAAGGGCTACTTTAAGGCCTAAGTATATACTATATGAATACATGGACCCTGACTTGGAGGTCCATGGGTAGTTATAAGTGGAGTTATAAGTCTCCTAATATGGCTTGTAATTATAGTTGCTTTACTTATAACCCCACTTATAACTACCCCTGAACCTCCAAGAAATGGGTAGTTCGCTAAATCAGGGGGGATCCTTCGAGGGTTCTTTAATGGGATCTGTAAGGGTTCTGCGACAGGTTCTATACAGGGTTTAAGGCTTAGGGTTTGTAGCAAAGGAATAGTTCTCTAAATTAGAGTCCCTTTTGGGGGTCCTTATTTTTAGGGTGCCGTACTGTTTGGGAACCTAAAAGAGGACCCACATTTACAGCACTACCCCACCCAAAGGCCCCATGCACCCATATAGGAGGTACTTAGGCCTTAAAGTGCCTATATAGGGACCCCTTTAGGAGGGGTTCGGCTTCGAGGGCGAGGGTTTGGGACCTCACTACAAGGGTCCAGGAGCCTTAGGGTAGAGTATAAATATAATTTACGGAAGATTCCTTAGTTAAGGGATATTGGAGTCGCTGGGTTTACGGTTTGGGGGGCTTGCAAGAAACATGCGATAAAGGCCTGAGGTGGTTTTCATAGGGCCTGTGTCTTACACCCCTGTGGGCGCTTGTGACCACAGGTCCCTGGAGTTCAACAAGGGTTGCTTAAAGGATCATGGGACTTAGTAACTAGGGTTATAATTTAGGTAACTGTGCATCCACTTCTAACCCCAACTATGGTGCTGATAATCTTACTTACTATATAGGTGGTTGTCAAAATTATGGTCCCTGTTTGGGTCCTTGATATAGTACGACACCTAATTTTTAGGGTACCCCAAAAGGAACCACAGTTTTGACAACACCCATATAAGTCCCATGAACCTCCAAGTAAGCCCCTTTACAACCTTACACAACCTTACGCCCCTTTAGTAGCGGCGGCAGCCGGGATGTTTAATCCTAGACTAGACCAGACTACGACATCTCCCAGATCTTACCAAGATCTTTTTGGCATGATGATTCGGGTCTGTGACAAAAAAGCGTAATCAAAACTGCAAAGCCGTTGATGCTCGGAGGCTGAAGGCGAAGATGAATATGAATATGAAGATGCCGCTGCTGCTGATGATGATGATGCTCGTGCTGATGGTGATGGTGATTTCGGCTTCGCCCATGGCTCTGATTATGATTCTGATTATGATGACAATGATGATGGACACTAAGATACGCCTAGATTGCATCATTGCTGCAAGTATTGTCGCTATTGTTGTCGGTACAGTATATTATTGGGTAAACATTAAAACCCCTTTTTAAAACCTGTCTACTGGTACCCCCTAATAATGTTCAAAGTCCCCAAAAACAGTAGGTCCATGGGTAAGCCCTAAACCTTATGGCGAATTCCCGGGATTCTAGACCCGAAAATCCTGAAACCCTGTACCCTGAACTCTTTACCCGTAACCTTGAAATCCTACCTGGACCCCAAAAGTATGTAGAAGAATAGCCTTTATAGGTTTTGGGCCATTATCTTAATTACTTTGGGGGTCTAGGTAAACCCTAAATCTTGAACCCCCAAACCTAAAACCCTAAACCCTGGCGGTCCGAATTCTCACTGACATCGTAGGTGTCGGAGGCCAGGATCTGGGTGTGTTGGTGGAAGGCGCTCCCTTGTTGGAAATCCTGGCTTGGCTGACTTCTGAACCTCCTCCTAAACGTTAACTTTACAATTTTGGCCTCCTTATTATAGTTCATATAGAAGGTAAAGTTATTATAGTCCATATAGAAACCCCAAGAAGGCACAGGTAACGTCCTAAGAGACAACCAGAAGAACGCCAAGCTGGGGCATTGACGGCGTCGGATATAGGGCTTAAGGTTTACCTATAGTCTCCATTGTAGTTCCTTTTTTGGTTAACCAGTTTTATGGTTAGGACCTTATAATAGAGATTTTGGTTAACCAAAAAAAAGGAACTACATTGGAGACTATAGGTAGGGTTCCTCCAGTCCTCAGGGCTTAAGCCCAAAGGCTCCTTGTAGCTTTATAGTTAAGCCTGAAGGGGTCCCTATATAGGCACTTCAAGGCCTAAGTGTATACTATATCGGTACATGGAGCCTTAGGAAAGTGTTTAGGTGTCGGAACTCTGGTGCGCTAGGGTTTGAGGTTTAGGTTGCCAGGGTCTCGGGCTTAGGGCTTCTAGAGTTTGGATTTAGAGGGGCTAAAGTAAGCCTTACAGTAAGGGTTTTGTTGAAAATTTTGGGGTGTCAGGGTCTAGGTTATTAAAGGGATTGAAGCTTAGGGAGGCGTTTAAGGTGTAGGGTTCATCAGGTGTAGGGCCAAAACACGAAACCCCACCCTAAGGCTCCTGGGAGGTCCCAAACCCTAGCCCCCAAAGCCGAAATCCTCCCCCAGAAGGCCCAAGATCCTCTTGTGAGCCTTACCCTAAGGCTCAAAACAGCCCAAAAGCCTTATGTAGTATGCTCTTTGGGCCCAAAAGCCTTAAAATATGAGTCCTTAGAGCCTCAGGGTTAGGGTAGATACTGCAACCCCAACCAGGCTTTCCTTGGCTTCGCCCTCCAACTTCTTGGCCGCGATGTCGATCAAGGCAAGCGTCCCGCAGATGTCCTGAAGGAACGATGCAAAGGTTCGGGTAGCCAGGGCATCAGGGTTCCTAGGGTTCCCTTAAACGGATCCATAAGGGTTCTATAAGGGAACCATAGGGTTTAGGGCTTCAAGGTTCCTTTCAAGGGATCCTAAAGGGTTCTATGAGGGATCTATAGAGTTCAGGGCTTAAAGCTTAGGGCCTTAGGAGTTCAAGACTTTAGAGTTCCGGTTTCAGCGGCTAACGGCTTCAGGGCTTCTGAGTTTTTTGGCTTCAAGGCGTTAGGGTCATTACAGGTTATAAGGAGTGCAGGTGCATAGCGTTTAGGGTGGCGGTTTGTTCACAAACTTTGGAAAATACTGGCCGAGTGCTCATCGGTGAGTTTGGGCTGTCCGCTAAGGCTCAGCGCTGTCTACCTACTTATCAGTTCCCCGTCTTACCCAACACCAGCGCCTAATTAACAAACGCCACGCGCAATATGAACCTCGAACGCTCATACCCTACTCCTTGTTTTAAGGTACCTACTTTTCTATATAGGAGATCTTAACAATCAAGTTAGGAAACCTAAAAAAGTGGTAGGGTATGACCCTCTAGGAATAGGGAGGTTCAGGAGCAAGAGGAAGATCAGGAGGCAAGACTCCAATCAGTCTCAACCCAGCAACACAACTCAGAATAGAATAAAAGAGGGGCCTTAATAACTAGAATAGGGTTTTGGGCACCACTCTACTATACGTCATTGTGGAGGCCTCTATATTATAGTACCCGGGTCACGCAGCGTGCAGGCCGTCACATTCGTTGAGCATCACCACCTTCGGCGGGACGATGTCACTGGCTTCTTATTCCACCGGCGCCGACAACGGCGACGTCGAGCCCTCGGTGGCTTCGTGGCCAGTATCCAACTTCGAAGGTAGACTTCATCGTACAGGCGCAGCATCCATCCCTCTTTCTCATCGTCCCAGCGAGAGATGTCGGCATCCGGAGGTGCGGGAAGATGACGATCACAGACTACCAGCATGGTGCTGGTAAGTCGTACTTGCAAAGCGTTGCCCCTGCCGATAGGTTGGGCAGCACCTGGTCCGCCTGCTCCGAAGCCTGTCGTGGGAGCCCAAGTGGTTGGGAACCGTGTCGATGCATTGCTCATGGATTCTGCGGAGGCTCTTAAGACGATGCAAGCTGCCCACGCCGACGCTTCAACTCTCAGGCTCTAAGGTTCTGCTAGTGGCGGGATCCCTTGTAGTAGCCCTTATAGACCCCTTTAGAAGGAACCCGAGTATGCGAGCCCAGAGGCCGCTCAACACCCTCGCAATCTTAGTCAGCTGGGGCTGGTCTCCGTACCAAAACCCAAAGGGTCCTATGTACTGTTATGGGGAATACTGTTATGGAACCTCTAGGGTTCCTTTAAAGGGATCTTTAAGGGTTCTATAAGGGATCTATTGGGCTTAGGGCTTTGCGGGTTTAGGGTCTTAGGTATTGTTATGGGGAATGCTTCCCTAAGTCATAATAGTAATTCCTAATATGGAAACCCTACAGTCTACTATACCGTTACATAGGACCCTTTGGGGTAGCAAGACAAGCTCAGTTCGGATACCCCTGGAATTAAAACAAACACGTGGACTACCCTAACTAAGGGTCCATGTATCCATATGAGTATACGTTGACCCTGAAGTATCCATGTAGGGACTGCTTTCAGGCCTAAGTATATACTATGTGAATACAGTTAGCCCTTATAACATGTAACCATGCTTGCAGGAGTCCTTACAATACCAATCCTCCAGATGAGCCATGTGGGTAACTCTTGTAGTCATCGCAATTTGGGGCCTTATGTGGCCTAACACTCTTAACACTCAACCCGAAACCCCGAAACCCTAGACGCTGCTTGAAACAACGACCCATAATTGCAAGAATCTCAAATTTGTGGCCTCCAACAACCTAGTCTAGACCGTGAGCCCTACGTTCCGACAAATTGAGAAACTGCTGTAAATCCATAAAACTCCAAGTATACAAAAACTACCTACTTTGGGCTCTCAAGTCTATAAATGGTACCTACTTTGGGCTATATGGAGCCTTAGGGCATCCCTGGGCCCCCACCTGGTTGAGAATTGCACAGACACAGCCTAAGCCGACTTGGCCCATCCCGACGATGGTGACCTGCCAGGGCACTAGGGTTTAGGGTTTAGGGTTTAGTATAGGGTCTAGGGGTTTAGGGGTCTAGTTTAGGGTTTAGGGCTTAGGGTTTTGGGTTTAGGGTCTAGGGCTTAGGGTTGGGCTGGGAGGAGCAGGAACCTGCTAAGTTGGCCGTATACAAAGTGGCTTGGAAGAGAGCCTTGCTATTGATATACTGGTGTACTGAATACTTATGTAGTGACTTTGGGGGTCTACCGTTCCTGAAACTCTGTGCCAACCTCATAGTGCACGCTGAGGGTTTAGTGTTTAGGTTGGAGGGTTTGCAGTGTTAGTTTTGTTTGCTTTCTTGCTACCTTAAGGCTCCTAAGAGGGTCTTGGGCCTTCTGGGGGAGGGTTTCGGATTTGGCGGCTAGGGGTTGAGACCTCACTACAAGGGCCCAGGAGCCTTAGGGTGGGCCCTAACCAACTCAGGATGGAGGGTAATGCACGAACCGGAATAAGAAACCCTGGCCCTATAACCCTGCAATATATGAGGATTCATATAAGGAACCCGAATACAGTAACGGCCCAGGGTTTCTTAATCAGGTTCATGCATTACCAGGCTGTGCCCTCGATTGGCAGTTTCAAAAAATGAGGGTCAAGTCTTTAGAGGACCCTGCCAGGACCAGGACCCCTCAACGGCCCTTCAACGGAGCTCTTATGGTCCTTTATAGTAGCAGGCATCTTAAAAGACATTGGAGGGTAGTTGCGGGATCTAAGAAATTTGACACCTTAAAACTTAAAACTCGAAACCTTAAACCCTTAAACCCTTAAACCCTTAAACCCTAAACCCCAAACCCTAAACCCTAAACCCTAAACCCTACACCCTTAAACCCTGAACCCTTAAACCCTATACACCCTGGCCAACACTTTGGGAGCTCTGGTTTTGGGCACCCCGTTTTCTGAAACCCAGAAGTTATCCGGTGGCTCCGCGCCGAAAAGACCTACAGTAGACCCCATAAAGTTGGATCCTTAAAGGGATCTATAAGGGTTCTATAAAGGGTTCAAGGTTTAGAGTTTCCGAAAATTAGATAAAGTTGGAAACCGGGTTACGGTCAAATTGTGCCGGGATTCCATATACATTACTCTTAAGGATTGAAGCTATGGGCTTTCCAACTTTTGGGCTTCTACTGTAAAACTTACAACAACAAACAGACACAGCCCCCGGACCCGGTACCTAAATACCCCAAACCATAAACCCTACCTGAAACCCTCAACCCCTAAAAACCCTAAAATCCAATAAGCCTTACTAGCTTGGTCTTACCTAGACCCCCCAAAGTAGGTAAAATAATGGCCAAAAACCTATACGTAAACGGCTACTATTCTACATACTTTGGGGTTCAGGTAATGGCTTGGCCTAAAAGCTTAAACCCTAGCCCCACTGAATCCCGGACCGTGCCTTCTTGCTGCTGTGCTTGCCCAGCGGCGTATCTTTGGCCGGCTTCTGGGGGAGCGACGCATCGTAGGGGATCGTGTTCCTCGACCGCTTTCGGGATCAGGCATCTAGGATCTAAGATCTGTAGAGTGAGGTAGGATTTCTTTTCCCCTCAGAGCTGCATGAAGCATTCAGAGGGCACACAAGAGCCCCTAAACCCGTCTTTGCCGAATATTGCTAAATCATATAAATAAGAAGGCACATGTCCATTTAAGGAGGTTCCTGTGTTCACGAGGGGTATTGGGACTCTGTTTTCCGGGAACACTTGGGCCTTAACATTATCTCCCGAATTCGAGCCGGGCATCACCGTCTTTGCCACGCGGAAGTCCACGAAATGATCACGAAACTGAGTGTCGGGCTCGACAAGGTTCCTGAGCTCTCAGGCTCGCCCAAAGGGTCCTTTGTACTGTTACGGGGGATACTTCCCCAAATCCTAATAGCAATTCCTAATATTAATATAGAATCCCTACCTTAAGCCGGAGTAACCTACCTCTTTTAGGGTTCCTTATTATGATTTCTTTATATAAGTCCCTAAAAAGGTACGTTATTCCGGCTTAAGGTACATTCTACCATACAGGTACTTTGGACCCTCAGGCTCGGATTTTGTGGCTTACTGAGTTCCCAACGATAGAAAGCATTTATAGACATTCGTAGTAGTGATTATTGTAAATACCAAGCCCTAAGGCTCCAAATAGCCCAAAGTAGGTACCATTTATAGACTTTAGAGCCCAAAGTAGGTAGCATTTGTAAAATTGGAGTCTTAGGGATGAGATGCCAAAAACCCCTAGCAAGAGATAATCTCATGGAGGATAACTGAGGGGAGGACCCTAAACCCTAAAGCCCTTCAAAAGAAAGAATGTCTCTGAAACCCTCCGCATAAACACTAAACTTGCAAACGCTAAACTCGAAACCCTGACCCGGAACCGGAAAAACCCTACTAAACCTTCAAACCCTGACCCGAGTTCCACAGTGGCTGTTACAGGGTTCCTTCTTGGGGTTCCATATAAAGCCTTTCAGGGTACTATAACGCCTACTACAAGGGTTCCACAGGGGTTCTGCTGGGTTTTTTTAATGATTCAAGGCTCCATGTACCTATAAAGTACATACTTGGGCCTTACAGGGGCTCCTACTTGGAGGGATCGGGGGACTTAGTAAGTAGGTAGTAAGTAGACTTAAAAGTACCCTAAAAGCGACCCTAATTGGGGGTTATGGTACTTGTAAGTCCCTAAAATAACCAGTTACTAAGTCCCCCGATCCTCCAAGTAGATGTGCACTGTAAGGCCTCAGTCGGAACTATATTGACACATGGAGCCAGGCGAATCTAAAGCCAAGAATCAGAAGCAACCCCAAACCCCGAAGCCACCCAAAACGACCAGTCTTCGGGTATAGATTATAATCGACTACATCAAGGAACAGTAAAGGGAAATCGAAGTAGTCTAGATTTTCTGGCCACTGTATTGGGTTTCTATGTGCCTATACTCTCCATTGTAGTTCTTTTTTTGGGTTAACCAGATTTATGGTTAGGATCCTATAATGGAGATTTTGGTTGGCCAAAAAGGGAACTACAATGGAGACTATAGGTAGGATCTTCCTGGCCCAGAACCCTACACCCTGAAACCCCAGAAGCCATGTGATGTCCTTAGGATGTTCAGAGCCCAGACCATCCCGGTCGTCTTCATTTCCTGGAATACCCAGTAACCTAAGAAAAAAAAAAGGCCTCTCTTTTTGGTATTGGGTAACTTTATAAGGAACCTAGGACTACGAAAGGGAATAAGGGTACTACTGGGCATCCTAGCCCCTATTTTTCGGAAACCCTAAACCCTTTATAGAACCCTTATAGATCCCTTTAAGGAACCCTTATAGATCCCTAAGGGTACTACTGGGCATCCTAGTTTCCACAAGTTTCGGCCTCTACTTCATGGAAACTTCGAGACTTCTCAAGTTGAGGGTGTTGAGCTTGCGGTTTAGGGTATAGGGCTTGGTGTCGAATCCTACACCCAAAAGGGTCCAAGTACCCAAATAGTAGGGTTTCAAGGTCCAAAAACCCATTCAGAGTATGGATTTTGGGACCTGAAACCCTACTATTTGGGACTTGGACCCTCTGGGAAACCGTACCCTAAACCCTAATCCCGAAAATCTGGTCTCCATGAACCCAAGTGTCGGCATGCTGGCGGCAGAGGCGAGCTCAACGCAGTGACCAAAGCAAAGAGAGAAGCGAGCTCGACCCAACTGCTGTCGGTTGAGGGTTTAAGGATTTTAAGAGTTTAGGGTTTAAGGATTTTAATTTCAGGATGCAGATTTCAAGGTAATGTGGAGGCCTTAGTATAATTAGAATAGGGTTTTGGAGCCCATGATACTATACTTATAATAAGGACCCCCCGCAAAATAGTGTAGTACTCTTTCTAGACCCCTTTAAAAGGAACCCTTGAAAGGGACCCCTAGTAATTATAATAAGGCAACCATATTATATGCGTGCGGGTGGCAGCTTTCAGGACGTAAGTCCAAGGCCCAAGGTTAGGCTGTCTGGTTCTTAGTAGGGGGAAGTTTACGAAAGTTACACCCTGTATCGATGCGCCATGCCGCAAACTCCGAACACAACAGTCAATTCCTGAGGCCTTCCGAGCGCGCTTAATCGCGAATGTGAAGTTCTAAACCCACAGTTGATACGGTTCAGGGTTCTGTAAAGGTGTCGCAAAAGCTTCGTGAAGTGAATTATGTAGAAAGAGCGAATCTATGCGGGCGTGCCCGTCTTTTTGTTTCAGGGTTCAGGGTCATCAGATGTCATCAGCACCTACCCGTCATAGGGGTCTTATCTATATCCGGTTAGTAGACAGCTCGGCCATCGCTTATATCCTAAATCCTGTAAACCCTATACCCTAAGGTCCCAAACCCTAGCCCCCAAAGCCGAAACCCTCCCCCAGAAGACCCAAGACGCTGTTAGGAGCCTTAAGGTAGGGTTTAGCCGAAAGTTTTCGTTGGTGCACAGCCGCCACCTTCGCCACGTCCACCAGTGTGGCACCCACTGGGGCTTCCACAGACAGGCGCCTGTGGCATGCGAACTGTTTTGGGGTTTGGGCTTTTGGGGCTTAACGGCCTGGGGGTTTCGGCTTTCGCGGCTTCTAAGGCTTTGGGGTTCAGTGTCCTTTGGGTTCAGGGTCTGGGGCTACGTAGATTCGTAGATTTGGGTTCGGGTATGCTGCTAAGCAGGATCAATTCACTATTCCAAAAAGGCACATCAGCAAAAACAAGGATAGGGATACCATATCAACCCCCTTTTAATATCCCTATAAAATCCTTATGCTTATGTGCTCTGGTGGGCCCCTAACTATATAGCCTAGAGCCGATCGCTGCTCCTCCACGGTGGAGGTCATGAGCGCGTGGGCTGAGTCTACAGTTTCGGATTCATGGCTTACCCCAGGCTTCCAGGGACCTAATTCCAGGGCCCTATAATTAGGTCATTGGAAGCATAGGCGTATGCTTCAGATTAGACGGTTCGGATACGCAATCTGGCATAACATAGATATAGTTAGTGTGAAAAACATGACTTTAAAACAACCCTACACCCTACACAAGCGCTTTTGAGAGCCCATATGGGAGTTGCCGAAAAATTGGGGTACCCTATGTTGGGGTCTTATAATAAGGATCCTACCATTTAGGATCGTATATTAGGGTTCCCTATTTTCGGAAACCCCCCATATACTGCAAAACCAACACAACCAAGCACTCTGGAACCTCAGCGCCCTCATAGAGGTCTGACAGAACCCTCAACGCAACTCCATATCTAGTAACATTTAAAACTCCCCCAATTTTTCGTAATCTTCCGTGATAGAACCTTGTACTCCTAAAACCCAAACCCCTATCGCATCCCACAGCGAGCACCCTGATAAAACTCCCGTAGACACTTTGGGTGTGCTCTTTTTCTTTCAAGGCTCCAAATGGCGCTCACAATCCCGAGCGGGATAGGTGAAACCGCTGCTCACATCCCCGGGCAGATCCTGCGCGTTTCGGGTTTTAGGGTTTGGGGCCGTTTGGTTGCTTTTGTATTCTGTCTCTTGCTGTTGCCACGATTATTGATATGACTACTGTTGCTGATATTGATACCTTGCTCAAAGCATGTATGCAGGGCTTGTACATCATCATCTCAGTGAGGTGCTCATATATAGGGATTCCTGAAACCTGAAGCCTAAACTACGTCAACCTTGACTCTCATCCCTACGCCGCTTAAAACATCTGGTCCTCAAAAATACTGGCTTTCAAAAATACGGGCTCTTAACGTTGTATTTTCTCCTCACTCTGAGGTAGTCCCCACCCTAAGGCTCCTGGACCCTTGCAGCGAGTAGCCCTAGCCCCCAAAAGCCGAAACCCTCCCTCAGAAAGCCCAAGAACCTCTTAGGAGCCTTAGGGCAGGTCTGAGTGTGGAGTTCTGGCTCAGGGTTGCTGAAAGGGCTTACATAAGGGTAAAACCTCCTCTGGGGTTTGCCTGGACCCCATATAACCTACCTTTTCTGTGATTTTTTAAGTGCAAACTTTTATTTCATAATGGTTCCTTGAAGAAGAAAGTGTTAAAGCATGCTACTCCGAAGCCCTGCTTTTCAGGGCTCCTCATATGGGTGGTTGTCAAAATTATGGTCCCTGTTTGGGTCCCCATTATAATCCCCAATATTTAGGGTACCTAAAAAAGGACCCTTATTTTGACAACAACCCTTATAGATCCCTTTAAAACGAACCCTAAGACCCTTTATAGATCCCTTTAAAGGAGCCCTTCGACCCTTATAGAACTTATAGATCCCTTTACAGGGACCCTAACTTTGAAAACCACTCATATATATATATATATAGTGTAATATACCCCCAAACCCTATTCTAACTATTGAGGCCCCTATATTGTAGTACCCTTATAGCTCCCTTAAAAGGATCCCTTTTCAGATTTCGTGTAGGCCAAGGTCAGAGTAAGGTTTGCGGTCCCGAAGTCTTGCCATGTCAAGGGCTCCGTGCTAAATTCTGGTTTATGGTTAAGGGTTCAGGGTTTAGGGTTAAGGGGTAAGGGTTCAGGATTTAGCGTTTCGGGTTTAGGGTTAAGGACCCGGCACGAGCCCTAATGTCCAAACACGTCCGGCTTGAACAAGCTCCCTGGAAATGCCTAAACCCTAAACCCCAAAGCGCCACAATCCAAATACTGAATCCGAATGCCGCTGAAGCAGATGATGCTCAAGCTTAGAAAATTCAAGCCCACCAAGCGGATAGCTACCATAGAGGCCTGCACCGACACTGATTTTGCAGCCGTGGAGTAGCAGAGGCTGGCTTTCACGGCTTTAGGAGCTGCGAGTTTTGTGCCTTGGGGACTTTGCTTCTTTCCGACTCTGGGACATGGTCCAGAGCTGTGGACTGCATCAACGATATGCGGCATGAGAATTCTATCCAACGATGGGGCCTTGCCGATAAGAAGGCATTGCAAGACTTCAGGATGTGCGAGGGGGGCGAATTTAGGCCATGCACTACCCCGAAACGCGACGGGACGGAACTGTAAGTCGACAACACTTGTAATGCATCGTGTCTTGTGCACGACACCCTAGACCCTTTAGATTAAATTACAAGCCTTAGACCCCATATGCTAAAGTGTATGCCCTGAACACGTAATGACCAGTGCGCTCTGCAACCCAAAGACCTGCATCTTTTATTGATCTCGCTGCCACGTTCGGAGAAGCTGCGCTATGTCCACATGGCCCTCCTTTTCAGCTACCTCCGCTGGGGAGGCGAACACTTCTTTATCCTGGGTCGCGGAGTAATCAAAGAGATAAGAGACAAACACTGCGTTTAGAATAAAAAATGTAAATAGAAGTAGTAACCGTAATAGTAGTAGAAACAGAAATACTAACTGTCTGGTAGGGAACACTCCACAATAACTCCTGGAGTAACGTAGTAATCCACAAATTTATTATTATGTTTGGTCGCAAATTGTCCTGAACAGGCTGTCCTAGCTCCCTGTGAAAAAAAGCCAAAACCCTAAGCCGTTAGGCTCTAGAACTTTCGGGCTTTCTGTGGTGCCAGCATCTTCGCGGTCCCGATCAGCACCAGCCAGCACCAGCAGTTGCACAATGCTGAGGTGTCCCTCCCGGGCCTGGGAATAGAACATGCCCAACTAGGTTTCCTTTAAAAACAAGGGTCTGAAAGGGTTACTATAAGGGTTGTTTAGGGGTTCTTAAAGCTTATAAGGCTCAAAGGACTTAGTAACTAGGGTTATAAGCTAAGTATGCTTGTATCTAATATACTTAAGGCCCCCAACGAAGGGACTGATGGTCGGTCCCAGGATCCTCCAAGAAGAAGTTGTGCATCACGGTCCAGGAAAGGCTTGGGTTTGTCGGGTTTAGGGTTGGGGGTTGAAGGGTTCGGGCATAGGGGTTTAGGGTTTCGGGGTTGAAAACTGAAGCCAAATAGGATCTCAACCGCAGAACCGACACGAACAGTAGCTTCTATAAGCACTCTACACCCTAAACCCTAAACCCGGCCCTCAACCCTAAACTTCACTGGCCCAGTGACAGCAATCCAAAGAGGGGTTTGGCCACAGGAGTTCCCTCGATCCTTGTCGGCGCCAGCAAACAGCAGTAGGTTGGCAATCGAAAACCCACCATTCTGCGCCGCATACCACCTCAGGATGCTGGCTTCTCCTTTACGGGGTTCTATAATGAAGGGATGTAGGGTTGGGGGTTGGATATAGAAGAACCTTGATAATGAGAACAGGATTTTGGGTGCGGGGGTATACAGCTCAGGGGGTTTAGTGTTTAGCGGTCAAGGTGCAGAGTTTAAGGTCTCTCCCACCGCGTAGCTACATAGCTGTCCAGTGCAGACACACTTTTAATTTTGCTCGGGCAGATGCTGAACAAAAACCCAAAATCACAAAACCGGTACTACTACGCAGCAAACCCAAACCAGAAATTAACAATCCAAAAGCATGCATTCAACAGTCTTATGTAATCGCGATGCTCGGCTTTACAACTTTTTAGTCGGCACAGGAAAATCGCAATCGTGTAGGCGCTAAATCGTACTTTGCGTGACCAAGCCACAAAGGGGTGTTACCCGAAGTGTCTGCCTCGTTGACATCCACTGCCTCCTGCAAAGACAGCTGCGGAAGCAGCAGGAACTTCACGAAGTCCCACTGTTGCCTGGGCTTTTAGGGGATCCATAAGGGTTCAATAAGGGATCTATCAGGGCTTAGGGGTTTAGGATGTGTATATGAGGTAAATATACTTCCAAAGAGTTATATTATCAAGGGACTTATAGCCTGACTAAGTATGTATGTATGCAAACAAGCATATAGATAGATAGTTCCAACAGAAAGATCGACCGATAGATAGTAGATAGGTGGAGTTCAGAACCATACTGTTAATGAAACAGCAACATTCACGAAAGCCCTGATGACACTCTGGAGATTCCCGGATCCTAAACAAGCTTGCACGCCTCAAGGTAGCTAGAGACTCCAAAAACTTGCAATCAAACGTCGAGGTGTCCGGAATGTGATTTCAGACGAATGATTAACAAAGGAGTTGAGAAATCACTGTGGATCACCAAGACGCCTCTCGCACGCCACGGCCAACGGTGACTGGCCGCTGGAACTTGCCGCCTTCTCTGTGCTCTGCTGAAATCTTTTTGCTGTCAACAAGAAGCACCCCTGCCAATACTCCAAAGCCTAAAAGCATAAACCCAAACCCGTGAACCCTAAACATCTAAACCCCAAACCCCATGGCAAGGTCTCATGCATATATGTCCTTGAAGGACCTCCAAAAGGGACAGCTTTCGGAAGAAGCTATAGTACAATTCTAAGAACCTAGAGCCCGACGAAAAAGACACGACAATTGAGGCCAGCTTGGGTATGCAAAAGTTGCGGAACGCCAAGAAATACTGCTACTGTTCTTCATGATTTAAGCCCCTATAAAACCATAATATAAGGCCCTGGAAAAACCAATAAAAGGAACTTTCAGCTGTCAAGCCATATAAGGCCATACAAAAAAAGCTTAAAGGAACTTGAAAAACAGTTTTGTCAGTAATAAGCCAAAGCCTATACCAGAACCATAAACCCTATACCCAAACCCTCAACCCTATACCAAAACCCTAAACCCTATACCAAAATCCTAAACCCCATACCAAACCCCTAAGCCCTATACCAAAACCCTGAACCCTCAAGCCCAGGATGAATAGAAAGTGTTTCGTGGGTCCAATCCCCACCAAAGCAACCGACGAAAGCACCATGAAACCTTGCAGCAAAACCTATAGAGCCCTGTAAGACCCCAAGCCCCCAACCCGAAACCCTGAACCCCCAAACCCTAAACCCCAAACCGTAAAAACTCAGCAAAAGCAAAAGGCTAAACCCGCCTAAAACCTGCACAAAACTCGCCCCAAAAAACCACAAAACTCCGGACCAGAACCCTAAACTATTTCTACCCATAGAGCCCTCCAAGACGCCAAACCCCGAACCCGAAACCCTAAACCCCCAACCCTAAACTTCAAACCCTATACCAAAACCCTAAACCCTATACCGGAATCCTAAACCGTTTACCCAGACCCTTTATACCTTATATCCAAAACCCTAAACCGTTTTAAGGCTCCCAAGTCGGGCACCTTTTAGGATTCCTAAACCCTAAGCCCTAAACTGTTATAACCCCCAAAACCCCTCAACCCTAGGCTTTGGGCACCTTCCTGGGATCGGCACCCAGAAGGATCAGTAGCTCCGCGATCCGAACCCGACCTGTTGGGATGCCGCAGCTCCTTTAAAGGTTGAGAAAAAGGGCCCCTCTTTCAACGTTATGTAAAGGTCCCTTTCAGGGCTCTTCTAAGGGTTGTAAAAACAAAGACCCCTTTAAGAGTTCTATTAAATGGGTTCCGTAACGTTTGCTTTCAAAAGGCTCACTGCTTTTAGGGTTCCGTTTATGGTTCCACTGAGTTCCTTTGACCCAAAGGGTCCAAAGTACCTTTATAGTAGAATGTAGGGTTTCTATATTAGGAATTACTATTATGATTTGGGGAAGTATCCCCCATAACAGTACGTAGGACCCTTTGGGTGAAGGTGGTTTCTTTAAAGGGATGCAGACTTCTGGAAGGGATCTGTAAGGGTCAAGCAGCTAGGATGTAAGGTGTAGGGTTTCAAACCTGCGGTTCACGGAGGTTGTAGGGTTTGGGGCTTGGGTGAAAAGTAGGGTTTAGGATTGTGAACGGATTGGGGTATACAACAACCACCTAATTGGCTTGAACGGAATTCGTCATTCGGGGCCGACTTAATTCCTCCACCATAGAGCGTAACCTTTAAGCGTTACTTCCAAAAACCTCGTTTGCTGAACTCCGGCCATGATTTGCGGCGCACCATAGGGCAGTGCGACCGAAATCATCTCCAAGTAGAATATCAGCATCAGCTTTGATCAGCAGTTGTATCATGTCCCAGTCCCCGTGGTATGTCACAGCTGCACACAACGGTGTGCAATTGAACCTTGGCTCTCGTGCAGGACTGTTCAAATTACAATGATATTTAACACATACTGTCCATTATATCGCCGGACTATAGTTCCAAACAAGAGCCGGGAACGGATCGCCCTCATTCACGTTGGCTCTTGCTTCCAACAAAATTCCAGCTGTTTCCAGAAGGCATCTGGAGGCTGCTTGCCACAGAAGCGTTGGAGTGTTGAAGGCAGTAACATAGTCCTGGGCTGCTCATTAGGTTTTGCGTTTAGTTTTCCATTTCTCTTCTTGAACTTTCTGTAAGACTGTAAGACAAGTTGCTACTGATGCTTGCAATTTCATGTGTGTCTGTTTACGTATTCATGCTTATACCGGCTGCTTGGACATCAAAGCTTGTGATTGAAAGCCGACGAGCGTCAATGTTTGGATCAGCCGGCATGTGCAGCAGCTCTTCCACTTCGTCATCTCTGCCTGGCGGTGCTTCTGGCGCTGAGGCTGTGGATTCATCAAGGCTTACATAAGACAAAGGCTCCGAAGGCCCTCGGAATCTAACTACCAACGCATGGATACCATATGCTTTCATTCAAGGGTAAAACGGCTACCAAGTTGGTACTTGGATGTTTTGAGCAGCCTAAGTCACCACGCCCTTCAAATCGAAACAGACGTGAGCGCAGCCGAAACCCTGAACCCTCAAAGCTTGCACGGTTTAGGAAGCAAGACTGGGCTCAGCCTTCTTGAACGGCTTCGGCAAAGTGCAGGCTTTGATCACAGGTCAACTCCACGAAGTCCTTGAGTCGGTTTTTGCAAAGCTTGATGTTCCTGTTTCACACCCTAAGAATCCAAGTAATCCTTAATGATGGTCTTTGGTACCCAAACTGGACCCAAAGTCCTACAATAGGGAGTACTTGGACACTTAAGGACAGGATTCAACGATTTTCGGGTGCATGTTCTTGTTTGAACGATCGATCGGGGTTTGTGTTAGCAGGGATAGCTAACTGCCACAGAATCGAGAGCCTGTCATGTAGGCTAGATGTTTTATTGAGTAGCTTGGATAAGTAAGTCTGAACTGCCAAGCTAAAAATTTGGTCTTTCGAGGTTTACCACTGTGTAGCCTCCCCCACAGGCACACACTAGCGAATATAAACATCGAAGCCCCCTGAAGCAATACTCTAAAACCCTAAAGCCGAACACCCTACAACCCTAAACCGTAAAACAATTAAACCTCAAACCCTGAGGCCGGCGGGATTTCGAGACCCGCAAGCCCGTCTTCATGCAGCTTTGGAAATTCGCGCAGCCGTCGGGATTGAACGCAGCGAAACCCTAAACCCCACCCCCACCCTAAGGCTCCTAAGTGTGGGTTTAGGGATTAAGGGTGGAAGGCTCTGGGTTTGGAGATTAAGGCTTAAGGTTTAAGGTTTTGGATGAGGGTTCAGGGTGGGTCATGGGCTTTCTGAGCCGCGTCCATTCTGTCCACGTGCCAACGACCGCTTCGGGACCGTCGGCTGCCGGTTGGATAGTCACGTCCATGACCACCGGGTAAACCGACTTGTGCTGGAACTTGCTTTTTCCAACTGCGCTGCATTGCCGGATCAGATGGGGCCACTTCTGGATGGTTTCTTGAAGGTACTTCACCCTCAACTTCTTGGTGCTGCTTTTGGTTCGCGCACCGACTCCGGGGTTGTAGTCCGAAAGCACGAACAACGCGGTGGTCACGAGAGTGTGGGCCTACCGCACATGTATGGACGCCACAGTACGCGGCACGGTTGTTGTGTTACTCACAATTTGCAACATGTCAGACCCGGACAGCCATGGTCGTGCAAAACGCATGCACGCCTCCCGCACAAGCCGCTCTGCAGCAACAGCAGCTGAGCTGCACGACTCCTTCGAAACTACCGGCTCCTCGTCGGGGGAAGGTGTATCTGTGACGCGAGCCAGCGTGGCAGCAGCCAGTCTGCGTCCTGCAAGTAATTACGTATAACAGCACATGGCTACACAGAGGGTGATTATAGAAGCGATATATACAAATAGACACTGCACCATGGCGGCTGCCAGGACACAAGTCTGTCCTTTGCAGTCTGGCTCCCCGTCGCAACGTGGGCCAGTGCTTCCTACCACTCCGCTGGTGTATATGCCGGGTCATGTACGCCAACAGCCGGTCGTGCTAAAAGACCCATACAACTGCCGGCGACGCGCAAAAGTTCTTGGCATCTGCTCTGCCGCGATACAAGTGCCGGCGACGCGCAAAAGTTCTTGGCATCTGCGTCTGCCGGGAAGAGTCGATCTTTTCTGGAAACCTCTCCCGACTCATATGTTCTGCAGGGAAGTGCAACGAAAGCGAGTTGCATGCGAGGTCGCCATGGCAGTCGGTGTTCATGAGCCAGACCTTCGTACTCCCAGGAGGCGTAACGCGTTCCGCCTCGTGGTTGCGTCTCAGGCATATAGCCCACGCCCACGAAAACGTTGAAAACGTCTTCCAGAAGACCTTGACCTGGGCGCACGTCGTCGAAGGTCAGCATGGCGCACTGGAAGAAATTATGGCCTCGTTGCTGGAATTCGGGGTCCACCTGTCAAATCAAGGCTACAACCCACGCAGCGCGACTTGGGCTTTCCGGGCCTGCAGGAGCTCGCAGGAAGGTTGCCAAACCCGCTGCCAAGGCATGCTCGAAGGAATTATGGGTGGAGTTATGTGTCCCCTAATACGGGTTATAATAATGATTAGTTACTGTACTACCCATGAACCTCCAAGCAGGGGCCTTAGGGAAGACCTCAAATCGTAAAGCCGAAACCCTAAACACTCTTCAACAGCGGATGTGATGCAACAAGAGTCGAGGACCCCAAACCCTAAATCCCAGACCCTATACAGCCAAAGCCCTCAGCCCCGCGAACAGCAAATGTAACGAAGAGCCGAGGACGACTAACAAATCTGATTTCTCAGGGCTCTTTACTTTTTTTAATGGTACCACAAAATGTCCCGAAGCCAGATCCCCAATCATGAAGGCCCCTAAAACCCATATCCTAAACCCCGTCGTCAACCTTACATCATCTTAGCTCCTGCACTCTAAGTTAAATTGGATACTGCCCCCACTCAGTAGCAGTAATTCTTATTCTTATAGTAAAGATATATGAGGCCCTTAATCGTAGCCTTATCATAAACTGTTGCGGTATTCTACACAACACCCGAAATCCTAAACCCTCTAAACCTTCGACCATCTTAGCTCCTACACTCTAACCCTAGGGATCTAAGGACTCATCTAAAACGGATTTTGGGCCCAAAGACCATACTTTATAATGTTTTTTGGGCTATTTTGATCCCTAGGGTAATGTAGGAACCTAATTAAGAAGCCTTGGGTCTTTATTAGGGCTCCTTATATGGATCCTAAGATATTTTGATCCCTAGGGTAAACCGCTGTGACGAAGCAAAGAGTCGAGGACACCCTTAATAAGGACCCCTAGGTATATACCCTTAATATATAGCTATTATATATCCATTATGTAGCCCATCACTGTGACGAAGCAAAGAGTCGAGGACCACAAGGTCCAGCTTCAGGGGCCCCAGGGAAAAGTTTGCCCCCCAGTCCAAGTGGTCCTCGCAGGTTTCTCGAAGAACACTTTCCCTAAGGGTCGGTGTAGGGTTTAGGGGTGAGGGCTTAGGGTCTAGGGTCTAGGGGTTCTACGGTGAGGGTTTAGTGGTCCTCGCAGGTTTCTCGGAAAACTTTCGTACTGTTGCATAATGGTAATGTAGATGGACCCTCTGGGTATCAAGGCTTCTTTGAAAGGTCTATAACGGATTCCTTTAAGGGATCTATAGCCTACTTGTCGGGTATCATGGGGAACTAAAAGTTAACCTTTTTGGTTACATAGGGATTATATAGGGGCTATACTACCCAAAAAAGGTTAAACGGTACCGAATCTACTACTAGGGTTGATGATATACAAGCTGCATTACCTCTCGGAAAACCTTCGTACTGTTGATGATATAAACCTGCATTAGCTAAAGGACCGTAAACTATGGGAACTTTAATATATTCCTTAGTAGGATAAGGCAGGATTTACACCATCAGCGGTAGTGTTTCAGGGCTTAGGGTTTAAAGGGTTTCGGGTGTAGGGGTAGCGAGGCTGCAGGGTTTTAGCCTCAAGAGTCGTATGTCAATTCATATATAAGCCCCAAACCCCTACACTCAGAACCTCCGATTTCCCAAACCTGATCAGACGTTATAAGCCCGGAACGTGTTGCCTAGAGGGTGCATACATACATGTATACTACGATCATGTAGCTAGGCCCCGAAAGACCATCCTTATTATGGCTTATGGGACCTACTTGCGTGCTGGAAGTACATGTGGATCCTCTCGATCCATAAACCCTATTCAGCCCCAAAGCCTAAAACCCTAAACTCGAAACCCTACTTCCGAAAGCCATGGTCCCCAAAGCCCATAACCCTAAGCCCTAAAACCCAGATCCCCAAAGCCCTAAGCCCTTAGCCCTAAAGTGCTCATCCCCAACACCCTAAACCCGAAGCCCTAAAGCGCTGATTGGGCTCCTGGACCCTTGTAGTCAGGTCCCATGCAAACCCTAGCCCCCAAAGCCGAAACCCTCCCCCAGAAGGCCCAAGACCCCGTTTGGAGCCTTGGGGTAGGCCCTAAGCCCTGATGATCCCATCATATTGAGCCTAAAGCCCTAAAGCCCAAATCCCCGAAGCCCTACACCCAGAACCCAAAAGGACGACGAAGGTCCGACATGACTTCCCCATCTCGAACCAACCGAAGCCGATGATGTGATAGGCCTCGCGGCTCATGGATATGGGGGGGGGTTTTGGGGTTTAGGGTTGAGTTTGGGGGTTTAGGGTTTAGGGGTTTAGGGATTTAGGGGTTTAGCGTTTGGGGTGTGGGGTTCGGGGTTGAGTTTTGAGGATTAGGGCTCGGAGTGCAGGGTTCAGGATTTGGGGTTTGAGGTGTTGGGTGCAAGGGAATTGAACTGGCTTTAGCCGGGTTCATACTCTTCGTACCACATTTCGGTTTTGAGGTGTGGGTTTGCGGTTCGGGTATATAGTAGACAATAGGCCTCGCATAATTAGCTTCTGTATGGCGAAATGCTACCACTCGTTGGGTGCGCATCCCCCAAGAATGAATTATTCATTACCCAGGAGTTTTTATGAGACCCGCAGCAAAGACCCAGAAACGGCACATCCTGCGCCCAACACCCACAAAATACGGTTGATGATATAAACCCTGCATTGCCCATCATAAGGAATATACCATAGTTCCCATAGTTTAGGGCCCTTAAGGTAATGCAGGATTCATATCATCAACCCTAAACCCTAAACCCCCTATAGATCCCTAAAAGGAACCCCTATAAAGGTACCCTTATAGATCCCTTTAAACGGAACCCTAGGATTTATATCATCAACCGTAGTCCAGACCGCCTTGCATCGAGGGTAGCTGAAGCAAAAGCTGCTTCAATGCTTTGACTGTCGTTCCAAAGGTATTCCAGAGCTCGTCTATCTCATCCTCAGCACTGGGGATCTCAGATCGCGGAAAAGGGTTTAGGGGTTTAGGGTTTAGGGTATAGGGTTTAGGGGTTTAGGGGTTTAGGCTTTAGGGGTTTAGGGTTTAGGGTTTAGGGTATCCTGGGGAACTAAAGGTTAACCTTTTGGCTATATAGGGATTATATAGGGACTATACTACCCAGAAAAGGTTAAAGTGTTAAAGGTTGCCTACTCTACTACTAGGCAAGGCTTGGGTACTGCCCACACCCCGTGACAGTCTATACTAGGAGTCACATAAGGGCTTTTGTAGAACTATATACTCCGAATCTTATCCAAATGTTGCAGAGTAGAAGCAGTAACCAAGCCTAAGTCATCGGAGCACTATATGTGTTCCAAAGGGTCCAGAGTGCTGGCATTGAAAGTTTGCTTCAGTAGACCACCATAATAACTTTGGAAAGTCGAAATTTCAATATCGAAACACCAATTAGAATTTTAAATGCTGACAAATCAAAAGGTACCCCCAAACCCTAAACCTACTTTGCACAATATGGGCAATTGCCTAAGAGAATCTTCGGTGAGCTTCTAAAATTGTGGAGAAAAGGGAGAGCCACGCATGCTGGGACTTAGCAAAATCGGGGACCCCACTATATTACTATATAGCACCGTAAACAGTACAGTAGGATCCTTATTATAAGGACCCCAAAATAAGGTAACCCTAATTTTCTGGAACTTAAAACCCTTATAGTAGCCCTCTAAACGAACCCTTATAATGCCCTTATAGTGCCCCTTCAAAGGAACCCTAAGGTGACCCCGAAGTTTCGCCTCTAGCCCTTTGGAGATAGAGCTGATCAATGTAAATCTGCTGAAGCAAGACGTACTCTACTGCCTAAGGGTCCATGCATCCATATGGGAGTTTCCGAAAATTCGGGGTACCCTACTTTGGGGTCCTTATAATATGGATCCCACTGTTTAAGGTGCTATATTAGGGTCCCCCCCATTTTCGGAAACTCCCATATGAGTATACATTGACCCTAAGGTATCTATATAGTGACTTCTTTAAGGCCTAGGTATATACTATATGAGCACATGGACCCTTATAAGGGTGTGCTGGTTCACCAAACGAAAGTTGTTTCTTCCCAGATTAGGAACTGCGGCTGACAGTTGGGAATGCAGCATCCACGTCCTCTTCTCTGCGGGAGTAGAGCACTTGCGATCAAGAGTTTTCGGCTGATGAAGATCTAGAGCTAAGGGTTGAAGTTGAGTGCAGGATTTCGGGTTTGGGGTTGAGGGCGAGGGTTTACGACTTCAAGTTCACGGTTTTGGGCGTGAGGACAACTTCAAAACTCAACAAATTGCTTGTTATTCATTTTCTCTCTCTCTCTCTCTCTCTCTCTCTCTCTCTCTGAAGTCTAAACCCTAAGTGACCCTGAGCCGCCCCTAAGAATCGGCTTGAGAGGTACCCCCGAATTTCCGGAAACTCCCAAACCCTAAACCCTATATAAACCCTATTTATCCCTTACAAGAACCCTTAAAAAGGAACTTCGGAGCCCCTCCTAAAAGTTAATCTTTTAGCATCCTTAATTATTGTAGTTCAAATCTAGAAATCCAAAAACATAAAGTCCTAAGAGCCAACCAGAAGAACGCCAAGTCAAGGCAAGCTTCTGCGGTCAGAGCAAGAACCTCTTCCCCAGAGATGCGCAAGATGCGCAGCAACACGGCCATTCCCCAGGACTCCAAGTATACGAATAGTACCTACTTTGAGGTCTAAATTTCACAAATACTGCCTACTTTGGGCGTTTTGGAACCGCGGGGATTCCCCAAAACTTGGGCTACCCGAATAGTGGGTAATGGGTTGCATTTTCATGATGAACCTACTATTTCAGGTACCTGGAGCCTCATTGTTTAGGGTTCAGGATTTGACCTACTATTTCAGGTACCTTTTAAGGTACTTATAAGTCTATTTACTAACTACCAACCAACCAACTACTTACTAAGTCCCCCGACCCCCCAAGTATAGGATGTCCTTAGCATTCCTCAAAGCCTTAGGGTTTAGGGTTTCGGCTTCAGGGTTTGACCTACCATGTCAGGTACCTGGAGCCTTAGAGATTGCCAGGACGGGTTTGGGGTCGAGGGGGGTCAAGATGGTCAACGGCTTGGGGTTTAGTAAGGCTGAGGGTTTAGGGTTTAGGGTTCGGGAAAAAGTACCCCCAAGATCCTTAAGTACTCTTTGCTGGTGCACCGGGGTAAGGCTCTACATCCTAAACCCCAAACCCTGAATTCTAAATATTATAAAAACCCTAAATCCTGAATTTCATCTGGGTTCCAAGTAAGAACCCAACAACTTCTATATTCACGCTCACGACGTACAAGAACCCTATACATGAATCCTAAATCCTACCATCGGGCTCCTGGACCCTTGTAGTGAGGTCCCAAACCCTAGCCCCCAAAGCCGAAACCCTCCCCCAGAAGGCCCAAGACCCTGTTTGGAGCCTTGGGGTAGGCCTTAAACCCTTAAGTTTTTAATCCCTTAGCCCTAAAGCCTAGACCCCAAACCCTAAGCAGCCCTGAATCCTATAAAGAACCCTATACATGAATCCTAAATCCTACCCATAAGCCCCATAGTAGTTCCTTTTTGGGATTACCTTATAGGAATCTGTATATGAACTCGAAAAAGGAACTACTTTGGGGCCTCTGGGTAACCCCCAACCGTAAACCCAAAATAGGGCCCCAAAAGACCACATAAGCAAAAATAAAGATAGGGACATCCCATATAAGCCCCCTTAAAAGGCCGGCCAATAAGGTAGGGATATCCCTATAAGATGCTTATGCTTATGTGCTTTTTGGGTCCTTCACAAAACCCCGAACCCATGTCCTCGGGGGCCACAACCGGCACGAGCCACGCTGCACTGAGAGGGCCCAGAATCTGTTCGAGGTTGCCTGGGAGGTGTGTTTTTGATGTTTCTTTTTTGTTTACGGTTTAGGGTTTAGGGGTTAGGGGTTTAGGGGTTTAGGGTTTAGGGGTTTACTTTCGGCATCAAAATAGCCCAAAAGCCTGATGTAGTATGGTCTTTTTGTATGAGCCCTTAGATGCCTTTGGTTAGAGCTTAGGGTTTAGGGGTTCAGAGCTTAGGGTTTTCGAGGTTGCGTGGGAGTGCTGGAGGTCAGGTCGAGGGTTTATCGGGCTCAGGCTAAGTAGAGTTTGCGAGGCTGAAAAGGCTTCTGGGATAATGTGGGAACCTGATTAAGAAACCCTGGTCGTGTAACACCAAACAATATCCGGATCCATATAAGGAACCCTAATAAAGACCCAAGGCTTCTTAAATAGGTTCATACATTATGAGCATTAAGTTCGAGGCCAGGTTTACGGCTTACAGCGTTGAGGCTTGATGGGGCTTGTCGGGTCTATCGTCTCTCGGGGATTTCGAGGGGGTATGGACTTTTAAGATTTGCGGAAACTCATGGGGTTGGTACTTCGGATGTTAGATGTGGGAGGTGTTCGGTTAAGCTTCGTCGAGCAGATTTGTCGGGCGCTTCCGTTGCAGAAGGATCTGGGGTTTCTAGCGGAAAGATATTGGGTCCAGATGAAAAGAATTGAGTTAACCAGCTTCCAAATACGCTTGTCAAGCTTTTTGGCATGGACCGTACATGGCCGTTCGAGAATAACGTGGAGCCAGGCGGAAAGTGGGCAACTATCAAATGCTTAGGTCTGGCTGCAGCTCACATCGAGCGGCAATCATGACCCTGAGCAACATTCCTAAACCCTAAACCCCTAAGCCCTAAACCCCTGAACCCCTAAACCCTAAGCCCTAAACCTGAACCAAGAACATAGGATGTCTTGTGATTTGCGGAAGGATGTACGGAACAGCCACGGCATGAAACTCTTCGGGGAGCTGCCTTTGTCGGTTCTTTCAGGGCTCAGGGTTTAGGGATAAGAGGGGCAGAACCCTAAACCCTGAGCCGTTCAGTAGACGCCGAAGGACTGTGCGCTGCAATTGATTCCCAAAGATGAGGGCAGGCTGTAATGATTAAAGTAGGTCTTTGGGTTATGGTATGCTGTACCTAGACTCCCCCCCAAAGTAGGTAAAATTATGGCCCAAAACCGATAAAAGGCCATTAATTATTCTACATACTTTTGGGGTCCAGGTAACGCTAATATGGCGTCCCATAGAAAGGCATTCACAAAGGCTGTGTGGGCTTCAGATCCCAGATTCACGAAGAAGATGCCTTACATCATATGTCTACATGGGTGTATGCTGGGCTAGAGGAGTAGCATCCTACTACTTACGCAGGGCTTGATGCCCTCTCAATCAAAGCTTCCATTTGATTCCAAAGACTCGCAAACCGTAAACCGCAAACTAGCGCTCTCTTGCGGGTACCCGTAGCATGCCTGTTTGAGGTCATAAGGGTGGCGATATGTATACATGCGTACATCTATCGGTCTGCATATGTATGTATAAATATACATATATACATATGTGTATACATACCTGGACCCCAAAAGTATGTAGAATAATTGCCGTTTATAGGTTTTGGGCCATTATTTTATCTACATTTGGGGGTCTAGGTATGTATATATATATATATATGGTCATATATGTATATATATATATGTACATACATACCTAAGTATAGTTGTATAGTTCCCTTTCTGGAACCTTCAAAAACCCTAAACCCCTAAACCCCAAACCCTAAAACCCTTCAAAAAGGACTGAGAACTTCCAGCGTACACCCAGACCCCCGGGAGGATCCAAAAAGTAGATCCCTTCATGGGGGTTCCTATAAGGTACCCTTAGGAGTATAGGGCCCCAAATTAGGGGATCTACTTTCTAGATCCTCCCGGGGGTTTGGGCACTGAGCTCTTGCCGAGGGACGGAGAGGCCCCTGGTCGAAAGGATTGGGGCCTGGGCAGCTACTATAGGGGCCCTAATGATTAGAATAGGGTTCCCTTTATGGGTTCCTTTTAAAGGGGTCTAGAAGTTAAGGGGTACTATAGGCCCTACTTAAAGGATCATGGGCCTTAAATTGGGGCTCCTTTTAAAAGATCCTCCAAGACTTACTCTAAGGGTTACTATAAGGGTGTAAAATAGGGGCCTTAATAGCTAGAATAGGGCCTGAACAGCTACTTCAACTGAAAAGGATCCTGGGACTTGGTAAGTAAGGTGATCCTTAGGGTTGAGGGTTCCTTTAAAAGGGATCTATGAGGGTTCCTAGAATGGGATCTATAAGGGTTTAGGGTCTACTTGGACCGGAGGATCATCGGACTTAGTAAGTAAGGTTATAGGTACCTTGATTGGGGTAATAAGTAGTTATAGGTATAGTTACCCTAATTATAACCCTACTTACTAAGTCCCATGATCCTTTACGAATTCTTGGCTTCCCTTACGGGTTCCCTTACAGGTTCCGTTAAAGTATCAGAACGGGCTCTTTTCAGGCATCTGTAAACAGATTCCTTTGAAGGTCTTGAGTGGTCTCGATAAAGCCTTAACACCCAAACCCTATACCCCTAAACCCCAAACTTTAAGCCCTCAAAACTGTGTACAGCAAATCCGCAGATCCTAGGCGTTCTACCCGAAAACAAGGGGTCGCTATTTCCTATCGTCTGGGGTGACAAGCAGGCTTTAGGGACCCAAAATGCTGAGCGCTTCACCTTCCAACCTGCCCTACTTGGAGGATCATGGGACTTAGTAAGAAAGGTTATAAGTAAGTAGTCATCGGTATAGTTACCCTAATTGTAACCCTAGTTACTAAGTCCCATGATCCTTTAAGTAGGCCTTAACAGGGTCCCTATATAGGTACCTTGAGGCTATAAGTACCTACTACTATATGAGTACATGGAGCCTTAAACCCTAAACTGAACCCTAATTATCGAACCCTCATAGAACTCTTATAAGAACCCCTTATGGTTCCCTTATCAGAGGAACCCTTAAGGGGTACATGGAGCAGGTATGAAGTTGAAGCCTTAAGGCTTGGGCGCAAGTGCACGGATACCCAGACCTTCCACCACTCTCCGAATTAAGGAATACCTGGACCCCAAAAAGATGTAGAATACTAGCCTTTTATGGGTATTGGGCCATTATTTTACCTACTTTGGGGGTCTAGGTAGACTTTAAACTAAATATAGTAGGCTCCCTATTATGACGCAAGGTATCCCAATTAAGGAACAGACTTTAAACTAAATATAGCAAGCTCCCTATTATGACGCAAGGTATCCCAATTAAGGAGCAGACTTTAAACTACATGTAGTAAGCTCCCGAGTATGACTTAAGGCAGAGTCATTTTGGCAGCTCTATCAATTACCATTCAATGCATGTCTGCCTCGCCATTGAACCACCATACTTCAAGGATCATGGTGCGTAGTAACTAGGGATATAATTAGAGTAACTATGCTTATAATTACTTATAGCCGATTATAGCCCTGGTTAAGATACTTATACCCTTACTTCCTAAGTCCCATGGTCCTCCAAGTAGACCCTAATCCCTAAACCCCTATAGATCCCCTTAAGGAACCCTTTAAGGATCCCTTTAAGGAGCGTTTTAAGGAACCCTTACGTACTAAGTCCCATGGTCCTCCAAGTAAACTCCAACCTCCGAAACCTCCGACGAAGCAAAGATCAAAGGGGAAAAGGAGGTTTAGGGTTTAGGGTTTAAGCTTTAATGGGGACCCCTACCCTATAATGGGCTAGATAATGGGTATATCATAGCTCTATTAAGGGTATATACCTAGGGGTCCTTATTAAGGGTCCCTACTTTTACCCTTGGAGAAGACATTCCCATGAGGCACTCAAAGCATTTCCGTCGTACATGCCTGGAACAGCACCCAAATTAGGACACGTCTTCGATACAAGGTGTTCGAATCAAGAACGAACTTTCAAGCACAACTGGACATCCACTTCAGAGAAACAGAAAGACAAAAAGGCACAGCGAGAGGGAGATGTGTGTGTACGTGTACATATGTATGTATATATATATATACACACACTTATATATGTTTATGTATATACAGACTACCATGCTGTGTCTTATGAACTTGTTTGTCTGTGTATATTATATAACAAAACAAAACCCCACACACACAACAATCAAACATCTTCGCCTGCATAGTTCCATTCCACGCTGGTCCGCCCGCGCAGGGCGTTGGAGAGGCTGCTTGCAAACAGGCCGCCGAGAGACACCTCACAGCAGTCTGTGCATTGTTTAATATTCCAGTAGACCCATACGCTCCGCAATAGCAGCTTATGATGCCATAAATTTGGTAGGGTATAGCCGCATAGCCCTGGAAATAGCAATTAAGTCGCTGGATATCCGCTGAGGTCCTAGGTCCTGGGATGTCACTGACCTTAAGCTCTGTACCCCAGTGCTTCGAAACCCATGTCACATCCGTCATCACAAACTAATAATGATGACCCTGCAGCGCGCATGACTCCTGACATCCGTTCAAGAACATTATTGCCCATACTTGTCGGGTATAATAGGGAACTAAAGCTTAACCTTCTTGGCTATATAGGGATTATGCAGGGACTGTACTACCCAAAAAAGGCTAAAGGTTGCCTACTCTACTACTAGGTTGATAGATAAGCAAACACTTTCTCAAAACAAATTCCAAACCCTCAACCTCCTCGCAAAGGATGCCGTCCGCCTGAAACAGCCTCATCAAGACTTGGAAGCCACGGACCCTAAACCCTAAACCTCAATACTCTAAACCCTAAACCCTAAATCCTAAACCCTTAAACCCCTAAACCCTTAAGCCCCTAAACCCCTAAGCCCCTGAACCCTAAACCCTAAACCCTAAATCCTAAACCCTAAACCTTAAATCCTAAGCCCCTAAACCCCTAAGCCCCTGAACCCTAAGCCCTATAGATCCCTTTAAAGTAACCCTATAAAGGACCCCAATACTCTAAAGCCCCTGAACCCTAAGCGGACCACGGGCACCACGAAGGACGAAGCGAGGCCGAAGGCGACGAAGACGAGGCCGCACTGGCGAAGTTTCTGGGGGTCCTGGGACTGGCAGGGTTTAGGGTTTAGGGTATTAGGGTTTAGGGGTTTAGGGTTTAGGGTTTGGGGTTTAGGGTTTAGGGTTTAGGCTTTAGGGTTTGGGGTTTAGGGCTTAGGGTTTAGGGGTTTAGGGCTTAGGGCTTAGGGTTTAGGGCTTAGGGTTTAGGGTTTAGGGCACTCAGAGTCTATAGAGGCTGAATACCCTTATGGGGTTCCTTTGAGGGCGCCTTTAAAGGGATCTATAGGGATTCCATAAGGGTATAGGGTTTAGGGCCTACTTGGAGGTTCATGGGTAGTTATAAGTAGAGTTTAAAGCCCCCTAATATGGGTTACAATTGTAGTTACCCTACTAATAACTCTACTTATTAATTACCCATGAACCTCCAAGTACCCCAGCCCAGTCCCTAAACCCTAAATCCTAAACCCTAAATCTTAAACCCTAAATCCTAAACCCTATAAACCGTGTTCAATTATGGTAGGATTATGTCAAGCCAGAAGGTTAGAGGGCATCGACTCAGCTACGAAGTAGTCGTGCTGGGGATGGCGCTTTTTGAGGGCGGTGGTTGCAGGTGTGTGGGGTCTAGAGGTTTCCAAGGTTTAAAGGCATCGGAGTCGAGGAATATGGGGGTTTCCGAAAATTAGGGTCCTCATTTTGAGGATCCTACTATTTAGGGTACTATATTAGGGTCCCCTGTTTTCGGAAACTCCCATATAGTGGTTTGGGCATTCAGGGTTTTGAGGCTAAGTATTCTGTATCTGTGGCCCTGACTGTGGCAATCAAGGACAACCTACCGCGAAAAGGGGCTTCTAGCGGCCCTTGCCATGTGGATTTGCAAGCTTTGGGATTGAGTATTTGGGTGCAGCTGTGGATTCAGGGTTCAGGCTTTAGGGTTTGAAGCCTGGGGTTTTAAGATTCAAAATTTGGCGCACCCTGGTGCGCAGGAAACGATGCAAGTCTCAGTGGTGACACGATGGGAGCCATGGCGGTCAATGTGACTTTTGACTGTTCTTCCGACTGAAATGCTGGCGGTTGCTGGGTTCAACGACTTTTTATGCAGGTTGTAGTCCAGGATTTAAGGTTTTGGGGCCTTCAAAATTTCAAGATTGTTTGTTTAGGGGCTCTTGTACAGTATAAGTATATTGAGGAACCCTGAAGCCCTAAAGAATACCATTGGTCCATTGGTAAGTATGAGGCTGCTATATTACCAATAAACACTGGGGTCTAGGCCCCTTTCCTACTGTGTGGCTTTGACAAGGGAGCCCAAAAAACAAGAAGGGCAAAGGGTATACGTACTGGGGAACTTTGGTCGCTTCGGCAACAAGAAAACGCTGCTCTCCGTGGCAAGCTTTCGCAGAGAAACCCTGAACCCTATGTCCTCAACCCAGAACCGTACTTAAAGGATCATAGGACTTAGTAACTAGGGTTATAACTAGGGTAACTATACTTATAAGTACTTATAACCCCAATAAGGTTCGTATAACCTTAGGACGTGATCCTGCAAGTAACGCTGAAGCCTAAACCCTACACCCGCAACCCTTAACCCTCAACACTGGACCGTAAACCGTTAACCCTCTAACCTGGCTCTGAGTCTTGGAACCTGAGCGTCCTAGCCTCTCCAATGCGGGTCCTCTGGTCAAGCAATTCTGTGATTAGGACGCCGTAGTCGGGAAACCACCAACGGGAAGTATGGAGTGAGTGCGTTTAAAAGGCAGCGTCAAGGAACACACGGTCCCCTCCAGACAACACCAAAGCGCCTGCATCACGGCCCCCCGCGAAGGAGGAAATGCAATCGCAAAGACCTCCGAATGAGCCCAAAGGAACGAATAAGGCTTCGGGTTCAGGGGTAAGTTAACGGTATCAGTTTCGGGGTTTAGATTTAGGGTAACTTAAAGCCTAAAGGCTGAAAGTTTCGGAGGGTAGATAAGGGCATTGCATTGCAGACTTCTGTGCCGTTTTGAGGGGTTCTTGGGTCTTTCATTGAATTGGCAGAACGATCAGACGTATGGTAAAGGAAACTCTTGGAATGAACATGAGAATCGTGAACCACAAATCTCGAAAAGTGTAACTCCGCACCAAACCCTACACGATCGCACATAATTTCAAATCGCAAACCCTGAAGCCATGCGACATAAGACCCCCCCAAAACTGACAACCTCCGCTGTGGGGCTCCCTTGCAAAACTCTGTGTGGCTGCATGCAGAGTCTTCGGCTTTCAAGAAATGGGTCATAAAGGCTTCGGGTGATATCTGAAGCAGCAGAACCGATACGAAGCGGCTCATCTTGAACCTCACCTCCACCGAGCCAAGTCATCAATAGCCAATAGCCAGCTTGCAAGTGCGCCAGCCATTGCTTAAGACAGGCTTTTTGCAGGCCCCAGAAGAATGAAAACTACGATAGAGACTATATGGGTGGAAACATTTACTGATGGTATTCCGTCGTACCTGACGGATCATGGGACTTAGTAATCGGGGCTATAAGTACGGTACCTGAACTTACAACTACTTATAGTCCAATGAGGGTACTTATAAGCTTACCTACTTAGTCCCATGATCCTCCAAATAGTCTGGAGATAATTACACCAAAATGTAAAATGCCCCGTTCAAATTGAGTACCTAAGTCTGCGGTAACAGGATTGAATCTCGAAGCAAACCCTAAACCCCAAACCGCACGTAATATAGGGGCCTTCATAATCAGGATAGGGTTTTGGGATATATTCTACTATGATCATATTAAGGAACCCCAGAGTGTTGGTAATTAGTAAAGCCCCTATGGTACCTCGGGAAGAAGCGGCCACGCAGCCGTCAGGAAGGCGACACAGGAAGCGGAGCTGTAGAATGTCAGGTGCCTTAACTCGGGATTAGGGATTAGGGTTTAGGGTTTAGGGATTACGGTTTAGGGTTTAGGGATTCCAGGACAAGGTTGCTGTTTTAGGGCTCCGTACTTATGCTTCTCTACATTGAAACCTTCTTAGAACGTCTTAGTCGCAGAGATCAGAAGCCCCCCAAAATAAAACCTTTCAGTGCGATAGGGGATGGTATTATTCCCACTACTGTTAAGTATACCCATTTAGCTACTGAGTGGCGTTTTGTGTTCCTAGAACTTGTACTTGCTACCTTCGGGGCCTTGATTCCGACTTGGGGGGCGAGCAAGCCAAAGCCCGTACCGAAAGAAAATTGCGGTTCGAGCCCGGCTCGACTCAACATGAAGCGCTCGCAGCCACGTTTACGAGTCTGCCCCAAATCACTTATCCAAGCAAGACCGGGAAGAGTAAGCCCCTGTGTTTGGGGTGGCTCGTTCAAGCTGTCTCGTCAAGCTGAGCAGCAAGAAAAGCTTGTGATTTCGAAGCCCAACACAGTTGCCAAGCCAAGGGCAGTGGTGGTCCATTCCTGAGTACCGGGGGCACATTGTGATTTCACAAAACAAACCCTCCATGATTACTACACCCTTGTGTATGCTGCTGAAAACTATGATCCACCACGTATTCTGTCTAGGGAAATCGGGCTTGTCGTCCTGGTGCCGATACACACGCACAGGCAAGGTCACTGCACGAATACGATGTTGAAACAAGGTGCATGAGGTAGTTCTCTAGACAAGGGTCCCTTTTCGGCACCCGCCAAAAAGTATCGCATCCTTAAAAGGGCCCTGACAAGGATCTCTAAACTACCCCACATGTTACAACAAAGCTGCATGGGTCTTCCTGACTCAAACTCCAAGGCTGTGGAGCCTCAAGGCCTAACCTGACTGGAATCGACGGGTCCAGGATTTAGGGTTCATGACCCCAAACGCTAAACTTGTTTAGGGTTTCTAGTTTCTGGGGCTAAGCCCTAAACAGATTATGGAGCTTGGCAAAGGAACCCTTACAAGAACACCTTGCCGGACTCATAGTTGCAAATCCGATATTTTTCCAGTGCAACGCTGCTGTCTTAAAGTAGGCAGCGGTGTGTCTGGTCCAGGCTCTTCGGGCTTATGTTGAACATTCGTTGGGGGCGTGAGTGCGTGAGTAATCTAGGGGTTTACGGTTTGGGGGCTTATGCCCTGCAGGCAAACACCCCCAACAGCTTCAAACTCTTTCAGCAGCAACCGACCATGCCATGACCTCACTGAACACTGCCTGGGCTGAAGCCTGACTCTAATCTAAACCCTACCTGGAACCCAAAAGCATTTAGAATAATAGCCTGTCATAGGTTTTGGGCCATGATTTTACCTACTTTTGGGGGTCTAGGTAAACTCAAAAGCCCCACCAAGCACCCAAGGATCCAAGGCTCGAAGAACGCACTGCCGGCAGACGCTGCAGTGATGGCCTGAGCGCTTGTTGCGGCGGGCGAAGGTACGGCCCAAAGGCTCCGCGTACCCCTTAAGGGTTCCTTTGAAGGGGGCCATAAGGGGTTCCTATATCTGTCCTATGGGGTTCGATTATAGGGTTTAGTTTAGGGTTTAAGGCTCCATGTACCCATATAGTAATGACTTAGGCCTTAAACTACCTATATAAGGACCCCTTCAAGGCCTAAGTACCTACTATATGGGCACATGGAGTCTTAGGGCGGGTTTCCGAAAACAGGGAACTATAATGCAGTACCCTACTATTTGGGATCCAGATAAGAACCCGCAAAGAAGGTACCCCTAATTTTCGGAAACTCCCATGACGGTCTTGGTCACTCACGAAGAAACCCTCGTTTAGAAAGAATCACGAACTGTTATAGAACAATTGTGATTGTAATGCTGAAGAAGCGAAAGGATCATCTGTATGATGGCTACGGAGGGCAATTCAACCCTAAACCCTAAACCCTAAACCCTACCATAAGGCGCCTAACAGCGTGTTGGGCCTTGTGGGGAGGGTTTCGTCTTTGGGCTCTAGGGTTTGGGACCCCATTACAAGGGACCACCCTTAGGGTAGACCCTAAACCCATACTAAGCCCCAAAGGTTCCGGGGGCTGATTCCATACTTATACTTGGAGGATCATGGGACTTAGTAAGTAAGGGTTCCTTAAAAGGGGGTCCTTAAAGGGATATGTAGGGTTCCTTAAAAGGATCTATGGGTTTAATTTGGAGTTTAGGGTCTACTTAGAGGATCATGAAACTTAGTAAGTAAGGTCATAAGTACCTTAATTGGGGTCATAAGTAGTTATAAGTATATAGTTACCCTACTATAACCCTAGTTACTAAGTCCCATGATTCTTCAAGTAGGGCCGGGCCCCACGGTCCCGTTTATCAGCTCCAGCATTGAACCTCTTACGGTTGATGATATACAGCCTGCATTACCCATCAAAAGAAATATACCATAGTTTGCATAGTTTCGGATCCTTAAGGTAATGGAGGGTTTATATCATCAACAGCATCAAAGGTTAAAAAATGAACAGTCTCTGGTGCCAGAGGCTTTCCACAGAGAGTTTTGCATGTTTAGGGCTCAAGGAGGACGGATTATCAAGCTCCAGAGCACTGAATCCCTGAAATGAACCCCTGTATGGCTAAGTGCATAGACATACCAGGTCCTGATCCCGACCTTAAAACATCTTAGTATACTTCTTCGTTGCGAAACCTGAGTATTGAAAGTATGGCACCATACCAACAACTGCCGGGCTGAATACCCTAGCCCAAAGATGGGCTAAGCTTTTGAAGTATATGTTATAGGGATATGTAAACCTCCGAACGGTTAAAGGTTACCCGCTCACCTTTTCAAGGACGTATACAAGGAAATCATAATAAGGAACCCTAATAAGGTAAGGTTCTTCAAGGTCCAGGAAAGCCCTGGACGGCAGGGGAAATGTAGTTCATGGTTTCACGGTGTCACAACACCGGGTCAAAAATGCCCGTCTGAATGTGTCGGAGCAGTTAGAAATACTGTAAGGATCCATCGAAGTCCCGATATGAGCTTATAGGCTCAGTATGCCGCGACACCCTTTTCAGTATACTGAGGTCGTGCTGAAATACCATCTGTCGAGCTTCTCCGTTCGGGGCGCACGCCGCAACCATACGAGCACCGCGTTGCTCCTGGGATGCAGGGTGCGATACTTGGAGGTTCAGGGGTAGGTTATAAGTAAGGTAACTACACTAAGGTTAACGCGCTTTTCTTCACTGGTAGTTTGGGCTGCTTCAAGGTTTGTGTGAAGTGGCAGGCGTGGGACTTATGAGTTTGAGCTAGTTTTGAGGCCTCAAAAAACTATTCCTTACAGAGGTCCAAATCTGTGCAACTTCAAGCGCCGAAGGAACAGATTCAGGACAAGCTTGCCCGACAGGATACGAAGAATACTCGTGAATGTCCTCATGATTGCTAAGTCTTGATATTGTTATGAACATTCTGATTCTTTGAGAGCTTGAGGGCTCAAAAATTCAGGAGATGGAGAATGGACAAACCCTAAACCCTAAACCCTAAACCCTAAACCCTAAAACCCTAAACCCTAAAACCCTAAACCCTAAAACCCTAAACCCTAAAACCCTAAACCCTAAAACCCTAAACCCTAAAACCCTAAACCCTAAACCCTAAAACCCTAAACCCTAAAACCCTTTTCTGAAACCAAGGCCAGATTCGCCCCTGACATGGTGCAGCTCGCAGCACTTGACTGCTCCTGCCTGGGCCTATGTACTTCTTGTGTGTATGAGTTTAGGGTTTAGGGTTTAGGGCTTAGGAAAGGGCTCCCTAGATCGGATTATTCAGGTCAAGATGCCAGCGAGCTGCTCAAAAAACTGCTCTGAGGACAAAACCGCTGTGTCCAGACTATGTCGCCAGAGCCAAGAGCACACCCGCATCTCCACTGTCGGATGCTAGTGACCCCCGTCTTCGGTGCGAAGCTTCAGGGCAGGATGCTGGGGAAACATGTTCTTCATCTGAGCCAACGCCCTATCAATGGTTCGCGTTCCACAGGGAAGAGCGTTGCTCGTTCCTCGCACGTTTACACTCTCGCGTAAACTCCTTGCTTGAGTGGCTCACCTGGTAACAAGCAATCCCCAAATGATTGGCTGCTCGCTAACATGCCGTGGCTCCGTCGGCATACAAAGCCCGAGGACCGTTCGTGGCAACACGCTGCAGCAAATTTGAATTCGCGATGTCTTGCCAACTCTCGACTGGAGGAACACTTCTGGGCAGGGTCAACTTTGGAGACGCACCGACCAACTATAATTATCCTTCAAGTAGGCTTACTTCACCATAAACAGTAAGCCCTGCCTAAAGGATCATAGGGCCATAGTAACCAGGGTTATTATCAAGGTGACTAGACTTGTAATTGCTTAGAACCCTACTTAAGATACTTGTAACCTTACATACCAAGTCGCATGGTCCTCCATGTATACCCACTTTGCAAGGTTTAGGGGCTTCGAAGGAACCCTAAACCCCAACTATAAGCCCTAAAACCCTAAATCCCACAAGGGTTGGGGGTCTTGGGTAGGCCTCGCTGTTTAGTTCGGGTGTTGTGGCTCTGGAGTTTTGTCGGGACTTTGGGGTCGAGGATTCGGGGTTCAGAAACTTGGGGATTTGGTCTATAAGGGATTTAGTAGAGTTCTATGGTATAGGGGCCTTTAAATTAAAGGGATCTAGAGGGGTTACTATAAGGGATACTGTAAGCGTACCATAAAGCAGGGCCCTAAAAATTGAAGAGGCATTAGAGCAACGAGGGCTTCGGGTCGGATGTACAACTCCTGTAAGTAAACTGAAATGCAAGCTTCGGAATCATAGTTCAATGTGCTTTACAGGGTTTAGGGGTTTAGAATCATAATTCAATGTGCTTTACAGCCTCTTTCGAATAAAGGCCTAAACTTTGGCTTCTGGCTGCTCCGTGCCAGCGGGTTGCATCTAGGGATACTGATAATTAGATCGGGGTTTCTGGGGTTATCATGGAATACTACTCCAGCTTGGTCAGGGACATATATTGGGGTCGTCGGCCCCTCAACTCCTCCCTTGTCTTTTGGAATGTCCAGCACAACAACCTGGAGCCCAAAAGTACGTAGAATAATAGACTTTTACAGGTTTTGGGCCATTATTTTACTTACTTTTGGGGGTCTAGGAACTAACAACACCATGAGTTTGCCGTGTGTTGTATTGATGTGTTGCTTGTGGTCTTCTCATGTTGTATATGTGAAACTACTGTGTGAAGCTATGGGTTGTCCTGGCTCAGCCCAGCAGAAGCCAAAACTCTTCACCCCGAAACTCAAACCCCGAGACCCCTAAATTCCCAAGCCCGAAAACCCTAAACCCAAAGACCTGCAGAACTATTTATTCAAAGCGGCCGCGGCAAAATCGGCTGTTGGCTGCTGCTGCGTGAGCAGGGCGCAGCCTCAACAAGGAGAGACTCCTGGCTTAAAGGCCTTGCGATTTCTTGGCTGACTGCTGAAACCCTCCTCAAAGTTAAACATATTCAGCCTTCGCATTCTGGCTCATATAGAAGCCCAAAAAG